AACATTTATATAAGAAATGAGTGTGCAAAATTTGAAAGCTTTTCATAAAGTCGTTGCTGAGAAAAATGAAAAACATTAAAAACTTGCATATATAAAATGCGTTTTTTACATAAAGTGACTATATTACTTGCAAATTTTCCAAAAATTTTCTAGTCATCATATTGGAAATTTGATGAGCTTTCCAAAAATATGTAACTTTAATAGGTTTCATGGAAAAATAAGGGATAAATTTGTAAAATATAAAAATTTCTTATGAGTGGACACATCACTTTATTCTCCAGAATTTTTTTTCAGAATTTCACAAACCAAATCAAAAACATTTTTTCCAAATTCTGCATAATTAAAAGTTCTGATAAATAACTTTATGAGAATGTGATTAAAGATTTACATTTTAGTTTCACTAAAGTGGATTATCCTCGATTTCGGAATAACTACTTTAGTTTTTTGGAAATATCTCCAGACGCTGAAGGGTTTTTAAGAGATCTAATGTGTGATCTAGTAAGAGTACTTTGCTCCTTAAATTAACATAAACTTAGAATTTTTATATCTTCATTAGTTTGAGAATTAAAGCAAAAATCGAAGTCATCTACTAGATTTGGCTAGAAAATTAAATAATTAATACTTCTTAACAAAAGTAAAAGTTTAAAGCAGAGGGCGAAGTCGACTCGGATTTTGTATGGAAAAGTCGACTTGAGTTCACTCTATAAAATAGCCTACTATGATCAGAAACCAAAAATGCTTTAAATTGCATTTTAAAACATATCTAGGTATTATAAATGATAACAAATGCTAATATAGTTGTAAATTCGATATTTTTTTGAAAATAGCCTACTATGATCAAAAACCAAAAATGCTTTAAATTGCATTTTAAAACATATCTAGGTATTGAAAATGATAACAAATGCTAATATAGTTGTAAATTCGATATTTTTTTGAAAATAGCCTACTATGATCAAAAAACAAAAATGCTTTAAATTGCATTTTAAAACATATCTAGGTATTATAAATGATAACAAATGCTAATTTAGATGCAAAATCGAAATATTTTTGAAAATAGCCTACTATGATCAAAAACCAAAAATGCTTCAAATTGCATTTTAAAACATATCTAGGTATTATAAATGATAACAAATGCTAATTTAGATGCAAAATCGATATTTTTTTGAAAAAAGCCTACTATGATCAAAAACCAAAAATGCTTTAAATTGCATTTTAAAACATATCTAGGTATTATAAATGATAAAGAATGCTAATATAGATGCAAAATCGATATTTTTTTGAAAATAGCCTACTTTGATCAAAAACCAAAAATGCTTTAAATTGCATTTTAAAACATATCTAGGTATTTTAAATGAAAAAGAATGCTAATAAAGATATAAAATCGATATTTTTTTGAAAATAGCCTACTATGATCAAAACCAAAAATGCTTTAAATTGCATTTTAAAACATATCTAGGTATTATAAATGATAACAAATGCTAATATAGTTGTAAACTCGATATTTTTTTGAAAATAGCCTACTATGATCAAAAACCAAAAATGCTTTAAATTGCATTTTAAAACATATCTAGGTATTATAAATGATAACAAATGCTAATTTAGATGCAAAATCGATATTTTTTTGAAAATAGCCTACTATGATCAAAAACCAAAAATGCTTGAAATTGCATTTTAAAACATATCTAGGTATTATAAATGATAACAAATGCTAATATAGATGCAAAATCGATATTTTTTTGAAAATAACCTACTATGATCAAAAACCAAAAATGCTTTAAATTGCATTTTAAAACATATCTAGGTATTATAAATGATAACAAATGCTAATATAGATGCAAAATCGATATTTTTTTGAAAATAACCTACTATGATCAAAAACCAAAAATGCTTTAAATTGCATTTTAAAACATATCTAGGTTTTTTAAATGATAAAGAATGCTAATAAAGATATAAAATCGATATTTTTTTGAAAACATCCTACTATGATCAAAACCAAAAATGCTTTAAATTGCATTTTAAAACATATCTAGGTATTTTAAATGAAAAAGAATGCTAATAAAGATATAAAATCGATATTTTTTTGAAAATAGCCTACTATGATCAAAACCAAAAATGCTTTAAATTGCATTTTAAAACATATCTAGGTATTATAAATGATAACAAATGCTAATATAGATGCAAAATCGATATTTTTTTGAAAATAGCCTACTATGATCAAAAACCAAAAATGCTTTAAATTGCATTTTAAAACATATCTAGGTATTATAAATGATAACAAATGCTAATATAGATGCAAAATCGATATTTTTTTGAAAATAGCCTACTATGATCAAAAACCAAAAATGCTTTAAATTGCATTTTAAAACATATCTAGGTATTATAAATGATAACAAATGCTAATATAGATGCAAAATCGATATTTTTTTGAAAATAACCTACTATGATCAAAAACCAAAAATGCTTTAAATTGCATTTTAAAACATATCTAGGTATTATAAATGATAACAAATGCTAATATAGATGCAAAATCGATATTTTTTTGAAAATAACCTACTATGATCAAAAACCAAAAATGCTTTAAATTGCATTTTAAAACATATCTAGGTATTTTAAATGAAAAAGAATGCTAATAAAGATATAAAATCGATATTTTTTTGAAAATAGCCTACTATGATTAAAACCAAAAATGCTTTAAATTGCATTTTAAAACATATCTAGGTATTATAAATGATAACAAATACTAATATAGATGCAAAATCGATATTTTTTTGAAAATAGCCTACTATGATCAAAAACCAAAAATGCTGTAAATTGCATATTAAAACATATCTAGGTATTATAAATGATAACAAATGCTAATATAGATATAAAATCGAAAAACTTGTTTTTACTCTTCAGAATTATTCTGTTGAATTTTATTTCAGAATTTCAAAGTTTTGATGAATTACTTTATGAGAATGTGATTAAAGTCTAAGTTTGAGTTTCACTAAGTTTGAAACAGAATCAATAATGAATCGCTTTTGGCTTTGCCAAATACTTTCCTTTTCTCCTCTGGTTTGAGGCCTTCAATAGTTTGATAAAATTATTCATTATTAAAACTTCAAGTGAAGATTTTTCAGAGGTCGAAGCGAGCATAGCGAAGCGAGTTTTTAGCGAGCTCGCTTCGCTAAAAATTCAACTTGCTAAAGTTGACCTGTAGCGAGAATTTTTTTTTTCTTTTCGCCATAGCGAACTATAGCGAACTCAATTTTATTTTTTTCGCTTTAGCGAACTATTAGCGAACTTAATTTTTCAAAGTTCGCTATAGCGAACTATTGGCGAACTAGAAAAATTTTTTTGGCTTCATATTAAGAGATGTCTGATTGCGTTTGTGAAGTATGTAATTTCATACAAAATTGCAAAAAATTATAGTTCGCCAATAGTTCGCTATAGCGAACTTTGAAAAATTAAGTTCGCTAATAGTTCGCTAAAGCGAAAAAAATAAAATTGAGTTCGCTATGGTTCGCTAAGGCGAATAGAAAAAAATTTTTCTCGCTACAGTTCGACTTTGGCAAGTTGAATTTTTAGCGAAGCGAACTTGGCGAACCAAGTTCGCTTCGACCTCTGAGATTTTTGAATATTAAATTTTTGGAGATCGAATGTTATCCATTTTCTTCAACGTGTAAATGTAATTGTAAAAGCAACATATGGATTAAAAACTGAGTGATAATTGATAGGTATCGTGGTTGAACAGCTACAAACTGAGCATTGGAGTAAAAATTCGATAAAAATGTTAAGAATTCTTTTTTTGGCTCTGTTATTCAGCATTAATGACAATTCTACAATTTTTTAGCTTTATTTGGAAATTATTAATTCCCCTTTATTATATAGTGATGATCCGTTTATAAAAATATGACGCTGCACACTGATACTACTTCTGAATTATCCTGTCTATCCTTCTGTCTAAGAATTTTATTTTATCATTGCTTCAGAATAATAAAAATTATTTTAAATATAAGCCTTTAAAAAATTTCATTCTTGATATACGTTTTTTAAAAAAGTAGTTTGAATTATCAGAATTCTGACAAAAAAATTCTGCTTGAATCAGAATTCTTCAAAATTTGTTTTTGTAAATGGAAAAAAATTGTCATCAGAATCATCAGAATAAACTTTCATATTTCTGCAGAGTTTTGGAAATTCCGTTTTAATATTCTGCTAGAATAATTGATCAGAATTTTTTACCAGGATTCTTCAGAATTCTGCAGAATTATTTTCCCGGTCTATGCAACACTCCCTATTCGAAACAATTTACGATGTACATTCAATTCTATTGAGAAGATATATTAAATCGGTAGCTTTTCAACCTTTATTTTCTGCAGATTATAATAAATCTAAGGCTTTATCCAAGACACAACCCAAAAATTCATCAAACTGAACTCATCCTTTAATTCAACAAATAATTCAAAAACAAAATTTCCGTTAAAAATTTTGAGCTTAGTAAAGCTATTCGGGCTGTAAGTGAATCTGACTTGAGCTTTGTCGAATATAAGGCTTCTGGCAAAATATTAGGTTAATTAAGTTAAAACTTGCTTCAGGAGTCGAGGAAAAATGAAAATTACAGCCCACAACCAACCCATCACTAATACTATCACAGAAATTTGCATACATACTATCTCAAATAGGGAAACCCTAATCAATATCAACATTGTCCAACAACTCATTAATAAAACTTAATATTCAATGAAAAAGATCCCAAAATTAAACGATTTTAAAACGAGATAACCTGAAATGAAAGCAAAAAGTCTATCGAAACAACATCAGATGCTTAATAAACTTAATATCTATTATTTTATTTATTTTTGTAATGATTAATTAAAAAAAAAGTTCAAAATAAACTGGAAATTCATAAGAGCGCATACAGATTTAGAAATTAAAAAGAAAATAAAGAAGAAAAAAAAAACCAAAAAAAGGAGAAAAAAAGTTATGAAAAATTCAACTTTTTACCTAAAAAAATGACAAATTGGCTACGTCTCTGCGGATAATAAAATAATATCTTTTTATGCATTAACATCGTTTTTCACAATCATGTTTTATGTCCTCAATTTTTTAATAATTGAATTTAATATATCTAAATTTTGAAATAGAAATTGGTAAGCTTCCATACATACGCATGACGCATGATGTTCCATGCCACCTGCATAGAAGATCATTAAAGAGTAGGAAAAAAAAAAATTATGAAACATTTTGTGAAATAATAGAAAATGTTATTTAATTAATATTATTTATTTTTGTTTGTTGTTTGCCGAAAATGTTTTGTTGTTGTTGTTGATGTTTAGCGCAATGATAAGCTATGCGATCGTTCGCGACTACTACTAGCCGATATATACTGTGATGGATCATTTCGTTCGTGAAGACGTTGATTTGGTGGTAGTTTTTGGAAGAATGGATGACGCAGTGCTTGATCTGGAATGTGAATAAGTTACATCATCAGTAAAGCTTGATTAAAAATAAATCCACTAGGTTAAAAATAAATCCTAGGATTTAAACCTTGACTTAAGGTAAATCCTTCAGTTTTAAGTAAAATCGATTGATCCAGAAGCAATAGAGCACTTACCAAGAGTAATTCTAGTTACTGGATCATAATCAAGCATGCTTCTTATGAGATCGAATAGTTGCAAATGATCTGGCGTTTCAGACAAAAGGTGACGATTAAGTGGCTTACAGTGATCTCGTACGTAACGTCCATTCGAAGATTTCTCATCCCATTCAAGCTTGCCTTTATAAAAGTACTTTGTTTTTGTTTTTCTGCAATATAAAGGAACAAAAGTCAATAAAATTAAGCAGATCAAAGAACATAGAAAACCTTACCTAGCCATGCGATGCGGAATCGGTCCGAGAATTCTCTCCATCATAGCTAAATGCTCACGATTATCGTGGGTTTGGAAAAGTGTTGTTCCTACATACAATTCAAACATGATACATCCAATAGACCACACATCACACGGTTGAGCCCAGCCTAACTCGAGAATGACTTCGGGTGCACGATAATGTCGGGTAGACACAATTGTACTGTGATGCTCATGATCGAATGTCGCACTTCCAAAATCAATTAATCTTATGTCTGTACATTTTACACGTCTCACGTCTCGATTCTAGTTTTTGGGATAAAAAATCAATACAAAAATGTCCATGACTCATTATTAAAAAAGTCTATACTCACTTTTCGTGCACTGAAGGTCGTCATAGGATCAGAATTTACAAACAATATATTTTCTGGCTTCAAATCCGTGTGAGTTAATTTATTATCGTGGAGAAATTTGACGGAATAACATAATTGGTATGAAATGTGTCGGATGTGATCCATTGGATATGGCTCATAGTTGTTGTCGCGCAGAAAGTCGAAAACACTTAAGCCAAGCATCTCAAATGCAATGCACGTATGTCCATGGTAGTCGAAATAATCAAGAATTTTGACACAAAGGCTAAAAATAAAGAATAAGAAGTTTAAATTTAGGGCTATAAATAGCACATAATAACGCATTTTCTTACTGCTCTGTAGCATTTTTGTCCGAAAGTTTCTCTAGAGCATTAATTTCCAATCGAGCTGCTTCCCTGTACTTTTCAACATTCTTAATTATCTTAAGTGCCATCGTATGATTCATCAATTCATCCCTAACTTTCACAACACGTCCAAAAGTTCCTTCGCCCAATGTCGATTGAATTTTATAACGAGCTAGCAGCACATCACCATTATGATAAATTAAATGACCGTCTGTATCATCCCTAAATGACGGTTCTCTCTGTTTTGGTGGTGGAGTTCGTTCACGTTCACTTCTATTCCTATCTCGAGTATGTTTTTCATAATGATGATTACTTCTAGTATTATATTCATGACGTTCTTTATATTCCTTCTCCTTTCTGTGATGCTTCCTTGTTGTTTCTTTCCTTTCGAATGAACGTTTGGATCGCTTCCGTCTTGAACTGGATCCTTCATAACTTTCAACTGGCTGATAACTACTACTTTCATTTGATTCACCTCGTCTCCGCTTTTTATGAGCATGATTTGATTCTGATCTAGAACGATGTCTTCTTTTAGTCCTTGGCATTACAGCAAAAGCACTTGCAGCAGCAGCAGTCGAGGTTGACGAGTTGATTTCAATAGCAGGATGATGAGAAGAGTTGAACTTTGTCCAAATATCACTTAATAATTTAGAGACTCTCTTTATATTTTCAGAAACGTTCGAGATGTATTTATCAAACATAAAAATATGATTTCACATAAAAAAATAGATCGTTTGATGCCAAAAATGCCAAATAACTTTAACACACTTTTTTTAACACTCAATTTTTTGGGCTTTCAATCGACTTCTACACTCAGATCGTTATCTAATTTGGCTCTTTACTGTCTTACTAAATGGTTTAAATGAACGCATTTATGGAAATAACTTTTAAATCTCCTCTTAATCACGATTTTAATTTCTGTGGACTGTTTTGTCAAATATTTTTTTTCAAATTTCGAAATGCGTTGTTGTTGTTCTTAACTTGAAAGAAATTCAAACTTTTAAAAACCGTTAAATTAAATAGACTCAATATTTTGAGAGTTTCTATGATAATTTGCTACTTATGTGATATCTATAGATGTTATAGTATAATTACAATTGCATATTATGCAGGCTAGTGAGTTAAATCATAAAAAACTGAATAAATTGCATAAACACACTAGAAAGTGTTTCCTGCCAAATAGACTTACTGTCTATAAATAAAATTAAATCACAATAATATGCTAAATGAGGGGCACACAAGTTCGAAACTTAATTCGAATGTTTTTGTTATGACGGATAATCCGTACCAAATTAATTTTTTTAATAAATTGCGAAACTTAAACGAGAATGTTGATCGAAAACTTAACAATAGATTAAGTTTTATTAAAGCATGAAAAAATTTGAATTTTTCAATATCGTTAATTTTTTCACTTTCTGAAAATTTACTTTTGTGGGCTGCTAGTGGCTTGTTGATGATGAAAAAGACTTCAATATTGATAAACTGACAAGATAATGTGTTTCTGAATGTTTCTGGTCTATTAATACAATCTCATTCATCCGAAGTGAAGTTGGCTTCAGTTATAAAATTTTAAATGTAACGGTTTTTTAACATTTCTTAATATTGCTAGAAAATAACGAAACTTAAAAATAAATCTGAAAGAAAACTTTAAAAATCTCAGTAAAAAATCAAAGTTTAATTTATTTACATTTTTAATTTATTCATTTTTTTGTCATAATTAATTTGTGCAAAGACAAAGCTTCTTAACTTTTATTAAGATTGATTACAATTTTCTCAACAGAAAAAGAGTAAAATACAAATTAATCAAAAAACGTGACTACATAGGACTATATAAAATGAGATTTCATTTCTTCATCTCGATTTTAAAACACAAATTATATTCTTTTTTCTTGTAAATAGTTTGAGCGTATCATTAATAGATCAATTAATTGTCCTATCAAATAATGCGAAACTTTTTTTTTCATCGTAATTTTTATTAAATTTTTTATCCTACTAAATCACATTTAAAAAATTATTTCACTGTATATTTTAATCCATTTCTGTCTATTAAGTTATTGAGGGGAATTCACTTACTAGTCCATCATAAGAGGGGGGGGGGGGTTCTGAGAATTTTGAATAATTAAAATACAATTTTTAAAATATTTTGTTCTAAATGGAGGGGGGGGGGGGGAGGGGGGTCAGAAAATTAATCCTTCTGTCTACCTCACTAGATGAACATCGAAAGTGAACGGACCTCTAAAGTAGCAAAAAGAAAATTAGCTCGATCCCGCGAAGCAATAATAAATTGGTTTATAGGCTCATAAATTAATTAATAAAGAATTTTTAACGGAAAAAGATCATAATCGAATATAAAAATGAGGGTTAACTATGGTGCGATAAAAGATTAAAAATATTTTGACCATTCAAATAGCACCTTAAATTATTCATAATGTTTTTGGAAACCGAGAGTGAAAGAGAAATTAAATCCTAATGAGAGCTTTACGCGCAAATTTGTGATAGAAAAAGAGTGAAATTATCAACAAAATTTCATCAAGCGATGTTAAATATATCCGTAAAGGCGTGAAATGCCTTTAATACCATTTAATCGTTTCGTTTCATTGTGTTTTATTTTTTGCTTCGTTTTTCTTTTCTTTTATTAAGTTTTATATACTTTTTAAAGGAAACCCGGAATAAACTTTTTTTTCACCTGGTTAATGAAACTTTAAGAGACTCATTTCACTAAAGTGGATGAATAGCTGAATGTTGAGTAAGTTTTTCATCGATTATGTGGCTAAGAGTGTGTTATTATGGAAATAACTGTTATTTGGTTAAATTATTCAACATTTTCTGAGTTAATTTTAGAAGGATAGTTTGGCAGCATCTAGTTATATGTAGACGAATCTGACAATGCATCTGTGACCGAGTGATTAGGAAATAGACTGAAAATCCGTTGCTCACTTTACCAGAAGCTGATCTTTCAATAATTAAATAATGTGACTAGTGTGATCACATTTTCTATACTTGACAATACAATCAGTTTGAGTTGAACTGATAATTAAAGGTTTGGTATGAATCATAGAATTGCTTTATTCACGTTGGTTTATTTGATCAATTGTTTCTTTTGTCTAAGTTTAACTTTCATGGAAAGTATCTTCAAAATCAGTGATATAATAAGTTCTCAGAACAAACTTAAATGTTGTCGAAATCACTTCAATGTTCTAAGTTGGTTTATAAGTTGGTAATATAGTTGGTTTACTAAAGCTCTTAGGTTTAAAAATGTAACCATAAATCGAACTACAAATTTATTTTGCAAGATTATAACTTAGTTCATATTCAATCTAATATAAAACCTTGAAATTTCAAAGTTCATCCAATGTAGTGAAATGAGATTCCAAAGCTTTTTTTGTATAGCATCATTCTAGACTTGAATTTTTTAGAAGTTTAAATGAAATTTTTATACTTTCTGTGTGCAAAATTTAAATTTTTTTCATGGAATTGATGGAAAACAACCAATAGCTTGTAACTGATCATTTTTCATTAGTTGCACACCCTTGGTAAAAAATTTGGCGGGAAATTTCTAATGTTTGGTACGAAATCAACCAAATTTATAAACTCACCAAGTAGTTTCCTCACTGGAAAGAATTCTCAATCTCAAAAGCATCAAAATTCCTCCTAAACTTCTAAATCCTCAACTCTAGAACATTTTCAAGTAATTTCCATAATGGAAAATAATATTGCGACTTGTTTCATAATTTTTTTTCACTTGTTTTTCTCATAAAATTTTCATTATAAAGTGCATGAATTGTTTTCTAGTAAGTGATTCCTTTTATCATTAGTCGAATATACTTTATGTTTTATGTCCAGAAAAAGTGGAAAGAACTTAAAAATTGTCTTCCAAATTTTTATTTTAGTCATTTGTTATATTTTTTGTAAGAGTCGTGAATTGTTTCCTGGACATTTTCATTTGTCAGACTATTTACAATATTACTTATAAGTATATTTTTTTATTATTATGTTAGTTATAACAGATTCTCGTATAATTGAAATAAAATTTTATTGATAACAAATGATGGCAGTTTTCAATATTATGCTACAATTGTAGCATGATTCATTAATATTATTAAGTTTATTATTATTTTTGTTATTCTCCCTTACATATTCCTTAATTTAGTAAATTGTGTATGTATTAAAGTTTATTTTAATGTCTTAAAATTCATTTTTTTCCCTTTAATTTTTCTGTTTTTCTCTCTCGTTTTAAATTTTTTCCTTTTTTTTGGCTCTTTAGAAATTTCATTTAAAACCTAAGAAATAAATTTGAAAATGGTCAATTTTTGTTTATTTCATTTCTTCCACTCAATTTGGACCATATTAAAATTTTAATTCTTTCAATTTGCTTTTATTATGCTTGAGTGCGTGTCTATAGGCTCAACAGAAATTGAAAAAAAAAACTTTTCGAATAAAAGCAATTGAAATTTTCTTTAATCTGTTGAGGACAATCTATATGAATAATTTCATACGTGAGTAATTTGGGAAGTATACTTGAGTATCTTGAATGTTTAGGGGTTGCGATTTGGAGGTGGAGATGAATAGGATTTGAAAAATCTTTGTTTTTGTTTGTGTTTTAAGGATTTTAATAGCTTTTTTAATTGAATTTTATATTTTGCATTTTAGAATCTGTAATTAGATCAAGGGGAAAACAACTTGATGGGAAAAAGTATCAATTAGAATTGTCCGTAATTTTGCGCAGTCTTGAGGATGAAAATACGCAATTTTAACGTAATGAGTTTAAGTGCCTTGTTGGTAAAATGGTTTAGTCCTTTGGAATCTAATTATTCTAATATTGACACAGCGATCTTGGGTTCGAGACTCATCGTGGGATATTTTTTAAGCTTTCTTTTCCTCATCATATGAACTACAAAAGACGACCACAACTTTTTATGTGGGTTGTATTCAGAATAGTGGTAAAAAAGTGGTTCTGAACCATCTAGAAACTATAAGTTTAGGATTGCCAATTTATTCAATAGCCTTTGAACCCAAGATTAATAAAAGGACGCAACTTTGTGAGACAATCCAAGAATGACAGAAGCTACATCGCTAGGCATGTCTAGACAAAAGAGATGCTTAACTAGAAATACAGGCATTAGATTTTAGGAGATGCCTAGATAAAGGCAAAAGTAACCATAACAAAGCTATGAATCTTTCCAAAGGCACCTGTTCGACAACTCTGTTTTAAAAGTTATTCAAATAATCCCACTGAAATTCAGCATGTATCTAACACTGCATACAGCACAATACTTAATAGAGACATTAGAGAATATTTTAATAAACTCATTTCCAAACTTCACATTGCATGAAAATTAAACAAATAAATTGTCAGTGAGTAATGAGTCTAACATTCTTAGCATATCGTTTGCTAATACCTTAAGAGAATTAAATAAGCTAAAACATGCTCACAATTGTATGACGGATGTGGAGAGAGAAAAGTTCAGGAACGAAATTTCATCATTTTCGTGAAGCGAATGATATTGAATTCAAATATTTCTGGGCCCTTTTACGAGCGCGCCTTAACATACCATGAAGATTAATATACCTTAAGCGTCTTCTTAAATCTTGCTGTTGCATTATTTCAGAACTATTAGAATTATCGATATTATTACTGTTAATAGAATCTAACAAATAATTTGTTGCTGAATTTAAATTGTTAAATCTCGAATCGAATCGGCTACGATTATTTACATTATCATTATCATTACTTCTTAAGTCGTTATTAATAAATTGGCAGCTGCTGTTATTATTTAAGAAATTCATACTTCGTAAATCTGCAGGAATAGAGGATAAGTCTGGATTACTAAAATAGATACCACCGTCGTTCCTAATGCGAGCTTGTGTCGAATTGAATGATGCTAGTATTAGTGAGGCGACATTTAGTGATCTGCGTGGATGGCGATGCTGTCTAGTTTGAGGCTGATTTTGTTGTTGCTGTTCTTGTGTCGTTGTTTGTGGCTGTGCCTGTTCGTGTTCGTGCTGTGTGAGTGATGCATTAAATAGCTTATCAGCACTCGATTTAGCATGTCTCTTATTGAGATTGTGATGATTTCCAATATGATTGATTGAGTTTGATGAAGATGAGCTTGAATGAGGCTTAAGATTAACGCTATTAATATTGCAACTATCCTTTTTCATCAAATGATTTAAATTAATTTTACTCCACATCATGAAATGCTCATCTCTCTTATCCTGATTCTCCTTACCCTTACCATTTTGTTGGGCTGTCGACTTTTTCGATTTCTTCGTCTTTTTCAATTTAAATTTATTATGCTTTAGATTAATATTTTTAATGCTGCTCGGTAGACTACTGGGAATTTCATTATTTAAGAGATTCTTTTGTTGCTCAGTTGGCAAACTCGTCAGTTGACTTTTCGATAAATATTCACAATTTTCTTTCGTACACAATTCAAATTCAAAAACTCTCGTATCATCCTCTGTGCTTGGGTGCTCATTATATTTTTTATTTTCATTATTCTCAACTCCATTATTACTACTGCCACCCTCAATATCATGTTCATGATGATATCTATAATGTGCCTCACAACAATCCTCCAACAATTCATTATCATGATGATGTAAAACAATTGTCGAATTACTATCAGCTCGTACTCTATCCCCAAAACTATTTGTACGCCATAGCGGTACAATTTGTGTCTCTCTATGTCCACGATATCTTGCATCTAATGATGCTGATCGATGATGTTTAAGTAACTCGGCTATTTTATTCTCGAAATTCTCTTCGTCCTCATCCTCGTCGTCATCCTCATCAGTCTTATAATCGCTACTACATATTTGACTTTGACTTCGACTACGATCAGGTAATCCAGTTAAAAAGTTCCATTTTATACGCGATGGAGAATTAAACAAGTCTGGTATATCAATATCGGAAAGTTCTGAACTATCACAACTATGACGACGTCTTAATGGCATTGTATAATTGCTCTCTACATTCGTAAATCTTAGTGCAACGAGTTGCTTAATAGAATTCGAAAGATGCTTACTGACTAATTGAGTAATTTCATCGTTTACTGTTGAATAAGAGTCTGTTTCACTATACATTGGTGGTGGTTGTGGTCTTTTATCATAAGCGGCTTTCGTTCTATCAAGCGTTGATGTTTTATTCTCATGAAATTCACTCGCATCAGAACACTCGGAAGATGTTGATGATGTTGCTTGATCTAATTCCCGTATCGGTACGTCTACATTATCATCATCATCATCATCATCATCATCATTGCCAAGTAAATAGTGTTTATCGATGTAATTAATTTTTGAAAATGAAAGTGACCGATCACGTAGACCTTCGAGCAAGTGAAGTTCAGAATTTAAGAGCATTATTTGATTTTGTGACGGCTTTCGTGATATTAACGATGCCTTACTGTCATCACACGAACGTGATGGACGTATCTCATAAAAATATTCTGGATTTATGTAGCATTGTGAGGTGAAACTTTTAACGCTTGAATTTCGTGACATTAGTCTCGGCTCATCTGGCTGTGATTGCCTACGTAAATGATAATGTGGATGTCTATGGCTATGCTTAATGTGAGCATAGTTAGACAAATATTCAGTATCATCTGTAATGTGCGACGAGTGCGTTCCAATTGTATTTGTATTTGGATCAGAATTATAAAGTCGATTATAAAATGCATTCGGTTGACTTTTGTGGCTGCTGTGATAACTACATATTGTATTCAGTGTCGATTGACTCCCAGTCGTCTTTAAACTAAAGCTACCATTCCGATGATGCTTCTCCAACGAGGAAGAAGGCCTTATTATTGCATAAGGGCATGATGCTTGATCCATACACACTGTCTCTGTCTGTTGCTGTTCTTCATGTTGTTGTTGTTGTTGCAAATGTTGCTGATTAAGTGCTAGTGGTGGCACCTGATTATCTTCCACCACCTTATCGTCATTATTATCTACAATTTGTACATAGCTGCTAGGGAACACTGGACCGTTCTTCAGAAGTCAGGGCTCTATGTTCGGCTGGTACACAGTTGCTTGCGGATGATGGTGATGCGGCACATAAATAGCAGTTCGTGTCTGCGTAATTTTTGCGTTTTCTAAACAACGCTCGGAAGCAGCTAAAGAAAATTTTGTGTTACATTTGCAGGAAGACGGAAATAGAACAAAATATTATGATTATAGCATAAACCTCTTAAGCTGGAAAATTTTATTATATTTTTTATTATTTTTTCAAGTTAAAAAATTTGTGTGAGGGAATCTTCAATAAAAATAACATCAGTGGCACATTTATATTCATATATAAGGTAAAGAAAATATTTTTTCAAGAGGAGTTTTAAAATGTTTTTTACAAATGTTTTAAGAAACTTTTAAACAGCAAAGATATATACAAGGAATATAATAATCTACAAGCATAACACACAGAAAAAATTTTAACATTTAGAATCAAAACAACAACAAATGACACAACAAGTAGATATATATTTTATGTACAATTTAAGCAAACAGCAGAAAGCATTAAATGGAGGATGGAATTATTTTCTTGTATTTTTTTCATTATCATTAAATTATTTGCGTTCAGGGGTGGAAATAATTGAAGCTTAGCTGGGATTATCGGTATATGGATTGGAATTATATTAATTTTAGACATATTTCAAAAAAATTTGAGTGGTTTCCAGTAATTTCTAATTTTTATAATATTTAACGGCTTTTAAAAATTTGAAATTATAGAGGTTGTCGAAAATTTTAACAGGTTGCACTCTATGGAAAAAAATTTGACAGGTTGCACTGCATTCAAATCAAAAAAATCATTAATTACAGTATAAAGCTATTTTTAAGCTTCGAAAATAATCGATCGACCAATAACTCGATGGAACTGATCTATTAAAACAAACCCAAACTCTCTACGATATCTGGTTAATGATAAAAAAGTGCATTATATTTTAATTTAATTTCTTAAAATTTTAAATTGTGAACTAATGTTATGAACTCTGAAACTGCCATCAGCAAAAGCTGAATTTTTAAAAAATACCTAATACTCAATCATTTCCAATCCCTAAGCCAGGAAAGAAGCTACAAAGTTATGTGTACTACTTATTTATGTTGATGAAAATTAATTTGTTTTCTCTTATTTTTAATTATTTTTTTTTGTTTTGAAGGCACAGCACACATAAAGTGATACACAAAATAAATTGTGTAAATAAATTGCAGAGAATATTTTTAATTTTCAGTTCCAACTCTCAAAAATACTAGAGTTGAAAAGTTTGATATTTTATTTGAAACTTGCAGCTATATTGTGCAGAATAATTTATGATAGCTAAAAATGACCTTATGGTTTTTGCTCCATGGGTATTTTTGCGAAAATGCCATGAAAAATGTTAATGTGAACTACGTGCATGTTTACGACCAAAAAAACAAGATCATAAAAAAATTGCAAGAGATAAATTTTTTTCTATTATTATTTTTTTTTGTCTCATTGAATTGATTTCAATTTTATTTTAAAATTTTTTGTTTAAAATTTTTATGATAAAAAAAAATAAAAAAACGTATGAAGGTTAAAAAATAAATTAAATGTTCATTGAATTCAAGCCTATATGATACAACCTGTGTCATTGCTTGCCAGACTATTATTTATGACAGTATATAAAGAGGATACTCTCTTTTAATTTAATATACTGTACTGCAATGAACATTCTATGAATATTATTATATTTTAAGTTTACTTTTATATTATGCAAATATACATAGCAGTGTATTAAATAAAATTAAATCCCTTCCCTCTTTTGTTTGTAGAGATGGGCGATGGAACTTTATGGTTATGCCTTTTTATCGCAAATCTATTCTGGACATTCAAAAAACTTTATTGTATTAGAGCCTGAATGTCAAAAAGATTAAAAGTTTCCAAATTACTAAAGACATGATTACATGAAAGTAAAACTTACTAATGGGTAGATACATGGGATTATTATGAGCATTTATGACCTGAAATGACCCCTCAAATATTTAACATGAATTTTATGTTAAATTAAATCAGTAATAAATCTATTTTTGCTGTATGTGCATGTAGGGATTGTTCTAGGATAGATATTAAAAACCTTGCAACTAATTCAAATGAGTAGTAAGAATTACTTTGTGTGGTGAATAAATTTTAGGTGTAATAAGTTGAAGTATCTGAGTCAGGATCAGATGATTTCATATGCTTATTATTTAAAATCTGTTAAAACAGGGCTAAGTACACTAGGAATATTCTTAATTTTCTTAACTATAGAATCATCTTTTAAATACGCAAATAGGGTCGCAGCAAGGATTTTTATAACAACTGGGGTAATCCATAAATGATATCTTGAATTTTTTGAAATCCTTCTCTCCCATCTGTCATAAAATTGTCTTTTGTAAGGAAGAATCACATAATAACTGACCAAACTTTCCTACACATAAATATTGAACATCATTTATGTACGACCCCATTCCATATTTAGTCTTATTTTATAATATTCGGAGCTCAAATTGGATAAGAGTTTTTATAATGGGTGCTTATAGTTTGACTCTAGCCATGCTTCTTTTGCTATGCTACTGCTCGTATTCGGACCGTTCACATATTACGTAACGAGAGGTCTTAGTAGATTATTTCATTGTTCTTTTCTGAAATAAGTTCGTTGTTGCGGTATGGGGCCATTCACTTATTACGTAACGCTTTTAGGGGGGGAGTGGGGTCTAAGATTTTTTTTTCATACAAATTTTGTTACGAGGGGGGGGGGGGTCTAAAAAGTCATTTTTTCGCGTTACGTAATAAGTGATAAGTGGAAAATCCTGTTTTTAAAATAATTAATTTACTATAAATTCTTGAATTTTTTGGTCAATGATTTCAACGTTTTCAGAAGTAAGATCCAAACCGTAAAAATTCAGCAATCTTACAAATAAAGCCATAAGAATGTCTTTTTAATAGGCAATCAACATTGCAAGAGTGGCATGCTTCTGACAAAGAATTTACGATCAGATTCAAGAAATTCCACAAAAAAAAAGAAATCCAGACGTCATCTAGACATGACTTTATTTTTTTTATAGACACCCCATCTTAACTCCTTAATCATCAAAATTCCTAAAGAGAATATAAAAGCGCAGAAAGTCAAATCAACAAACACATACAGTGATTCGTAATAAAGGAAAGAAATAAAGAACCAGTGCCCATCTCGAGTTTTCACGTTTCACTTTTAAGCACAATTTCGCCCTCGCGCGAAAATAAAAGCACAAAAATAATTTTTCATTCAGTTTTAAACACATCATTTTACGTGAAACAATAAATTTTATTGAATACACCGCAATGAAAAATGAAAAGAAAAAAAAAATGAGGAATAAAGGAAGAAGAAAACAAAAACGAAATTAAATTTATTCAAACCAATGTAAGCCTTTTATATTGTTTTTACGCTACGTTTTCCTGTAGGTTTTATGGTACTTTTATTTGTGTTTGTTTTTGCCTTTTCTTAGCGAAGTAATTTTCATTCTAAAAATGACTCTGGAAGCTTCTCACTGTAAAGCCTTTTATTTACAATAGTTTGAAGTACATTTTTTGTCTTACTAGAGACTGTATTATTTCAAAAAGAAGATCAAAGATATACTGGAAAAATATGATGTGGTGGATGTTTTACAATCATTAAGGTTCGTGGTAATGGCTTGTGTGTATGTGTATTTTTATGTGCTGAGCTTTGCTTTTATTTGACATTTTTCCGCATGAATGACGGCTTTCTAAAAAGGATGGAAGTAAATTTTCGGGACGTAGGATGAAAAGAGGGTTAAGTAAATGAAGAAATGTATAGAACGGAAGCGGTAATGGCAACGCATTAGGTAAGCTATTGAAGACGGATTTAGTGAAATGCTATACTCATTTTTCTTTGAAGGCATTCAATTTTGTAATCCTTGATGTAATCAGGTAGGTAAATAAATAAGGAAACTTCACAATATTTTTATAAACAGCGGAAAAATACTGACTCAAAGGATTTTTATCAGGTATGACAGTTTCTTTATGGAAGGGGTGGGGGGGGGACTTAAATCCTAACTCATTTGGACAACCCCTTGCATAAATCTTATACTTTGTCATCAAACTGATATTAGGAAAGCTATCTTCCTCTCGTCAGGGCAAGTAAATGTTTTAAATGTCACAGAGCACTAGCAACAACGTTTTGCCACCGAGTATGAGTATTAATGCATGAATTCATGGTTAAAGAACCCTATAATAATAATGTGTGAAGGGCCCAGCCTTTCAGCTGGAGGCACTGTGATTCAAAGAACAGAATCTATTGTACCACACCCTTTAGACCTACAGTTTATAGTGGGATCCGAACCACTTGCAAGCTCTGCATATTGCAAAGACACGAGTACGTCATAAGACCTGATGTACCCTGCAATGTACCTAGTCACAATTCGTGTGCGCAAGATGCTGTAAGGAAGTCATCCAGATGCTAGTATAACCTTGTATACCTAGCAAAGGAGGCAGATTCTGTTCCAAAGACCTCAAAACTACACCCAGCACACGAACCAAGCTTCGTAACTAGAACGGTGAAATGGAAAAAGAGCTTCGAAAATTAGACATGGCCTGGGATTGAACCCAGGATCTTTGGCACAGAAGAACCCTAAAATAGCTCACTTTATTATTTCACGCTTCTTCTTAACTTCATCCTTCGCTAACAAGCTTGATCAACTCAATTCCAAATCCTATGAACGCGCAAAAACCCAAAGAGGCTAGAAAAATGTCAAATTGCATGAATAAGGAAATTTATGTGACTTTATGTGTCGTGAAAGTTCATTTTTACTACATCTAGTGTCATAGTAAAGTGAAAGTGTGGTCAACATTTATGGATGTGTTTCCATCAACTTTATTTTTATTATATAACTCTGGATGGTTTAAGTGTCATATCAGTGGGCGTGTATAGAAATATAATATTAGTAAAAAAATAAAAATGGTAAAAAAATCTCACAAAGAATTATTTTTCTTGTTTTCATTTAATTTGAATTTTTTTGTCAGCACTGCATGACATTTATTTAGACTGTAAAGAATTTTTGATAGGCACTCCAATTTACTTAATGTCAAAGAAATATGAAAAGAATAATATAATATATAAATAAGAAGATAAAAAGAGGATATAAGTCCAACAGGTATAATTAAGTTAAGGTTCTGAGGTCTAGTGTTATGTACATGTTGTTCGATTAGGAGCGTTTGGAAGGCCCGAGCAGCACAAAAATATTTTTTTCGAATTTGTCGAAATTTTACTTATTTGATTAATAATCTTCATTTTAAATCACAAACATTTAAATCAATTCCAGCAATTTAAATGATCCTTTAATGGTCTTAAAAAGTTGAAAAATATCTAGAGAATCACCTAATAATCTGACAGAATTTTCATGATGATTGTCATATTATGTTTCTGAGTGACACAAAGGAAGTAAAATCCATTTATTTGACATTTAACTGACAGCAGTGCAAAGATTTTTTTCAGAATTGATTTCAATTTCTACTTCCTAGAGGAAAAATTGGCTTTATAAACCTTGACAATTTACTCTAATACTAATGATATATAAAGGCTTAGTAAAGGGTGTTTTTTGAGATACAGCCCAACTAGCATATAAAAGGGTTGTTCTTAAAGCAGAATAAAAACTGCGATGTCGAGCTTTTTGAATGTGAATCTACTAATGCGAAACTGAATTTTTTGTGGTTTATAGTGGTTGAGTAGATCATTCTTCTGTGAGAACGGAGGTTTGATTCCTACTAGAAGTTGATTTCTTAACCATTTAATATTTTGTTTGATAGTCATGAGATTCGAAACTTGATTGATAAAATGACCAACTAGGATTCGAACCCAAAACTTTTGACATGTAAAGCCTCAACGCTCTGCGTTTTAGACCACTAGAGTAATTTAATCGGTGTTCCTAATTCAACATATTTAATATTTCTATGCTACTCAGGCAGAAATGTTGGCAAATAATGTCTGGGAACTGAATTTTTTTTGGTTTTTTCAAAAATTTCATATTGTAAATGAATGTAAGTAAAAATTTCTTCTTGTGAGATAAGTTTAATATTTAATTGATATTATGCAGTGGGTAAGGTTGTGATAAGTGTTCAAAGTAAGTGAGTGAAACATATAAAGAGAGAGTACTGATTGTGGACATTAATATATGTTCATTTTTTCTGTACTAAGAATTTTTTTTGTATATTTTTTTTCGGAATTAAACATGATATTTTTAATATACCTGGGTGTTCCATTCCTTTAGCCGATTGCCTACTAAAGCTTTGTTGGCTTTGTTGGCGCTTTTTAGATAGCAATGGTGAACATGTTATATTATTACATGTATTATTAGTGTTATTAATGTTACTATTATTAGAAATTTTTGCATTTTTTTTCGTACCATAATCGAGTAAGTGTGATGCAAGTAAGTTATCTAATGCATAGCGAGATGTTTCACTCAATAAATTGACTTGATCGGTTAATGGGAAAACTTCTTCCATTAGTTCGCGTGTTTCTATTGAATTTGATATTAAATATATAATAATTTTATGGATAAATCAAAAAAAAAGGCATAAAGAATTTTTTTAAGTTTTTAAATCCAATTTTTATGAGTTTTTGAATTTTTATGACAAAAATTATAAATGAAAAAAAATTAAAGAATTTAGTTTAGTTTATTTGGTATTTTTATACAGGGTATATCAGAGTACTTTGTACATTTTGTCTAATTTCGATTGTTTTGTAAGATATATTAATAAAGGAATTGATATTTCTATAAATGCAGGCAGGAAACAGCATGATGAGAATTTTTTTCAAAACTTTTTCTACATCATGTTGTTTTCTTCTTTTTTTTCTTATCGACTGTAAGCTGATGTCAACTCCCAAACAGTATGAGGTAGATGCCGATTACTTATGATATCGTCAGGCATCTCATAATTGTCGTTTGTAGGTGGCATTCAGCTTTCATTTTGTCGCTTGTCACTACTTTAGTGTAAACAGAGTGTAATCTGGGATCTCGAGCGATATGTAGTCGAATCTGCCAGTGCGAGAAAAAAAGCTTCTATGGCACGAGTGGCTAGTTTACTGACCGAATAACTGAAACCTTCTTTTGTGAGGATGTAGGTTCGATTCCCACTACAGACCAATCTCGAAATCATAAATTGTTGTCAACATTTGACAAGGATTTGCACAATGCTCACGACATTCAGCTACTAGCCAAAATCAACAAAAATTCAGTTGAGTTCAACATTATTGAATTGATTTAAAATCTCTTGACTTAATATCAAACCTTGCTAAAACAAGGTTCAAAATTAGCAATTCTTGTGCAAATTAATCTTCAAATTGATCCTTAATTAAGCTTTTCATTAATAACAAAATGATTCCAATAAAGATTTATATTTTCTTACAGAACAAATGAAATTAAGACGATGCATGAAGCCCGTACCCTGACGAATGTATACAAAATCTAAAAATATACAAATCTTCAATCAAATTTCCACACAAAACGTTAATTAATACGCATAAAGGAAATACAAAATTAAATGATGGATAGTCTTTTAATTGCATCGATTTATGTAGCATTTCAGCTGCTATATAATTATTTATTGTCTCTTACATCGTGTTACCTCACATCAACAAAATGATATAAAGGTAGCATGAAGGATATTGAGGATATAACAATAATAATTATAGCCATTTAAAATGCTACACAATCGACAATTTATCAAAATTATAACGATAATAATGATGATAATATAAGCAATTTAATGTGTCATGTTAATTACATTTCATCGAAGTGGTTTATTTTATTTTAATGAGACATAGGACAAAAAGCATCTTAAATCATAAATTATAAGGTTTTGTTATACGACAGACACATAATAATGCACAAAGATGAAAGCAATTTATTTCTGAGGCGGATATATGAAGGAAATTTACGGGAAAGAGGAAGAATAAGAATAAAAAAAATGTGGTGACGAAAAGAATGGCAAAAAAGTAAAAAAAGTAAATAGAGGAATATGCTTATGTGTGATTATAATAAAACTGAAAGTAATTTGTGAGAGAAGTTCAAGTGATGGGGAAAAAAAGGAAAAAAAGTATGAATAAAAGGAAATGAAATGGATGTCCTAAAGGCAATGGAATGAAATGAATAATTTTTTTAATGCTTCAAAATTTTCCATCGTCATTAAGAGATTAAAGAATATTTTTTGTGCTAGAAATTAATGTGCTGAGAATTTGAAGCAATCTTTCATGCTTAACTGTTGGGATATAGAAATGTTAATGCAAGGCTTTGTTTTTTTTTTGTTTTGTCTAAATTCATCTTTATTATTATGGTTAAAAGAGGTCGGTAACTTAACCCCCTTAATTTTTTCCCTTAATATTTCAGCACATTTCCAACAAATTCTTTGACTAATTCAATCCAATTGTCCACAAGTGTGGTGCCTGAGCAAAGTTGAATCTTAGGTATCGAGCCTCACATAGACGAATCTGCACAGAATTAGACTTCTGTGGTGCTAGAGGTTAAGCAGAACTGTATCTGTTCTGGTGGGTTTGATTCCCACCAAAAACATATTTCTCAAACTTTGTATAGAGAGTTGTCGTCATCACAAGGATTCGGACAATGCTCACGACATTATAATCAGGATATCCAAAAAAGGAGGAAAAGCAACAATTTTTTAAAGCAAAAAGCACAAAATTATTCATTCCAATACAAATTCCATGAAATTCAAATTAAAATAAGCAAAAAAAATCATTTTTTGAAAAAAAAAATTCTGAAACAAAATTTTGGAAAATAAAAAGTTTTCTGAAAAGCGCAAATTTGATATAAAAATTTGATCAAAATTCCAGTAGAAAATTTAGTTTAATTAATTAAGATAAGAATGAATTTGAATTTCCTCTCAAATGAATCAAAAAATTTATCACAAAATGAGAAAAAATTCAACTCAAAAAAATTTAAAAAAAAGTCACCAAATCATCGGATAAAATCAAAAAGATATTATTGACGTTCCATTTAAGCACAAAAACATTTAAAAAAATTTTTACTTTCATATATCTTCCAAAAATAAGAAAATATTTCATATATTAATTTAATAAAAAAATTAAAATTAAAAGGTTTAATGACAATGAGATGTGATGAAATTCTTACGTGAGTCCTGTTTTTCCTCCGACACCATTAAAGCAGCCCGTTCGATGCCGGAATTCATGCTTTGCGGTTCCAAATTCAAATTATTCACGCAGTTTAGCATACTCCTGAAAATCGACCACTCTGGATTATGATTTCAAAAAAAATTTAACTACTTTCAATTTGCAATAAAAATAATTAAAAACGACAAAAACAGAATTGTCCACCAAAATACGATCGTTCTTAACCAAAACAAAAAGGAAAAGGAACTGAAAATTTTAAAATAATTTTAAAAAGTCGACGGCAAAAAAAATTAAAAATTTTGAGGAGTTGAAAAAATGCTACGAAATAAAATTCAAATTTACATCACGCGCTGAAGTCTTGAATTTGGTTGCATGGCACTGAATTTGATGTATATTTTGAAAAAATAGGGGAGGTACAATGGTACACATAAAAAAATTATATATCATGTTAAGAATGCAATTCACAATTTTTCTGCTTTTTTTTGCAACAAAAATTTAAGAAAAAAATCAAAAAGCATCATGGTTTTAAAATTGAGCTTTTCAGTATGGGATGTGATTTATATAAAAAAAGAAAAATTATAACAAAAGTAATATGCTTCTGTGGTTCTCACACATTGAAAATAAATCTCATTTTTTTTGCTGTTGAAAGACAAAATTTTTTCGACTTTTTATTTTCGAATGAAAAATGGAACTGAATTTCTACTGACTAAAAAATGAAAAAAGAACTTTTTTTTGTCATGCTCAAGTAATTTCAGAGGATGCAGATATAAAGAGGTAGTCACTTGACTTGCTGAATAATGATCAGATGAATTTTTTTGTCACAGGACATTGTAAATTTTATTAAATGGAATAGAATAATTCAATGACAGGTATATAATAATGGTTCTGCAAATAAAGGAAGTCTGATGTTGTGCGAAAAAGTTCAGATTAAATTTTTCCCTGGATACCAACAGCATTGAGATTACTGTTTTGGTACCAATATGTGTGCAGTACTGATAATCTCTTTTGCCAATAGCTACTTAAATTCTAATAGCACTTGTGGACGCAATAAGCTTCGCTATAATATGTATTCTGGAAACACCGAGTAGACCACATTATTATTATCATAAATTTAATAATTTGCTTGATATTTTTAAAATACACTGACTTTTAAAACCTCTGACCTTAATTCAATAAAAAATCACAAACCAAACTGATTTTTCCACTTCCACAAACATTGATTTTATCAACAAATATCGAAAATATCGGAATCATCAAAAAAATAATAAAACTGTGATGATTAACTATATTTCTATCTCCGCACAGCATAAACTTGTTTACCAAAAACATCAGCATAACGCAGTCAGCGAAAAAAATAATAACATCCACTTTATCACAATTCAGTTAAACAGCAAGTGACATTTTTCCCATATCTGCATCGCATCCGAACAAGATAAATTGTATTGTATACATTAAAATTAACTCTAAGTAGGTACTTTAGATATAAATTCATAAAAAAATAAACAAAAAATAAATTAAATGAAAACGCAAAAGCTCGCTCATTGATAAAAGCTTATCTATATCCTGCAATTGTTGAACTTTATAAATATAAATCGCATTCATATTGTATAAGAATGAGTTGAATAAGGTAAATAAAGAAATATTGCTACAATCTTGCTTGTTATTATTAAAAATAGTATTGTATCTTATTCTGCTAGAAATTATTATTATTATATTGCCAGCTTATCATTCATCAGCATTGAAGCGAAATTTTGACGTAATATGATATTATATAGACGAAAAAATAAGGTAGGAAAAATATAGCATTTAAGTAAGTAGCATCGACATTCAAATGGAAGAAAATCATAAATTTTTTTTTCTTCTTAAAGCTCAGCTTTTCTTCGGTTCAAAAAATAATACATAAAAATTATTATTCACTGTATTTTAACCCGGGTGACACATGACTCCGGTATGACCTCTGAAGAGAGCAGGGTGACAGCTGCTTACTGTAAATTTTTTTTTCAAAATTTTCAATCGACTTTACAACTACAAAAGTACAACAATTTCATTCAAGCCCCACCCTCTCCTTTTACTTTAGAGTATAGAGCTATATAAAGGCGAATCTGCCAGTGTGAGACGATCGTTCAAATTATCTAATGAATAGACAACATAACAGAACTTGCAACCATCCTTTATGAGGATGTGCGTTCGATTCCTACCAACTAAATGTGCTGTGTGATTAATACTAAAATTCCATATAATGCTCACGATATTCCCATCAACCATTTCACAAAGTCACGAGTTCAAAAGGATTCAATTCAGAAACCCAAACTCTTTCATTTGTGTCACTCGGGTAAGTAGCATGCAAGAGCTTCTTTTTCAACTTTTTTAAAAAATAACATAACTATAAATTAACGAAGGAACTTAAAGGACTTTAAAAGAAATAAAGTATATAACATAGAAAATGTGAGATAAATCAAGCAATGCTCACCCGTAAAGTCTACTATCACGAAGAGATCTTATAAATTTATATTTTTTATGCAGGAAGAGAAAAAAATTTTCGAAAAAAATGGAAAATAAATTTTATTAATTTATAAAATTTTTATGCTTTACAGACAAAAAAAAACTTTTTTATGCTTAAACATTAAACGATAAAATATGTTGATATGAAATTTTTTGTATTTTTTTACCTTCCATTTCCATGTCTGAAAAGTGCTAAAATCTCCTCAAACGTTTTGTTCTTTGTCTCGGGAACTTTTTTATATGTAAATATCCAGAATATTGCTAAGAATACACTAAATGGCAAAAATGTGTAGTTTTCCAATGCAGACTAGCGAAGAGAGAACAGAAAAAAAAATATAAAAGGGATTATTGGATTGTCATTTTCAACGTTATAAATTTGTGAGTGCGATAAAAAAAATTGGTGTAAATCCTTTGTCTGTTTTCAGTCTTTTCGACTATTGACTTTAAATATGTTTGAAAAATGACTTTTACTGTAGCTTTTTGCAGCTTTTCATTTAACGACGTTAATCTGATAAAAATATAACTGCTGGATTGAAAATGTTTTTTTAAAGGTTTGCAAAACTGTGAATTTAAATTACTTTTTCATTTTGATGGTAAATTCATCCTAGCATACTTTTAGATTTACGGAAAATTGCTTTATAGCAGAGATCGAAGCCGATTTTTTCGGCTTAACTCAATTTTTGATTTTTTTGATAGAAAAAAGCCATTTGACAACCATTTCAAGTATTTAAATTGAACTTTACATGCTTTACTATGATTCTGTGTAATATTTTGTCAGCATGCAGCTATAGGAAGCTCAGAATTTCAATTTAGTCGATGCTAAGCCGATCGGCTTAAATTTCGGCTTAAAATCGGCTAAATTGAAATTCTGAGCTCACTATAGCTACATGCTGACAAAATATTACACAGAATCATAGTAAAGCATGTAAAGTTCAATTTAAATACTTGAAATGGGTGTCAAATGGCTTTTTTCTATCAAAAAAATCAAAAATTGAGTTAAGCCGAAAAAATCGGCTTCGATCTCTGCTTTATAGATTTAGTTGTAGCATAAACATGAATTGCGAAGCTATTAATACTTTAATTGGATTTTGATGTAATGATAAATAAATCAAGCTAGTCAATTAAGAACTTAATGAATTTACAGCCACAAATGACTAAATTAGCTCCCAATTCAAATTATGTTGACACCGAGAGAACCACTATGGTTTTGCGTTTTGACTAAAGATTGATCACTCGATTATTGCATCAAATTGACAAGAACTTCCAGAATTCTCGCAATAAAACACATTAAATAAGACTCACCTTCAAGCTTGGAAAACCAATTCCGACCACAAAATTTGCCAACCAATTGACTAAAACTGCTATAGCCATAGCAGTTGGTCGAGGACCTTGGGAGAACAGTTCGGCAGTGATCATCCATGGAATCGATCCAGGTCCAACAGCAAAGAAGACAACAAATGCGAGCGTTGATACCACCGATAAGTAGGACATCCAATCGATCATTTCCTGCACATAACCAAAAAACTCCTATACTTTTGTGTAAGTACCTTATATTTCTCGAATATTAGAGGCCATAACACTGTAATTTTTTTCATATTTCATAATATTGTTGTTGTTGTGTTTTTATTTTATGTATGTTCTGTCAATACTCAAAATTTTTAGTTTCAACACTAAAGTATTGAACCAAAAAACACAAAGGATAATAACAAAAACAAGGAAAATCATGAGCTTTTATTGTTTTTAGAATGTGTGAAACCAAATTGAGTAATTGAGTGAAATAAAAAGGAAACGAACGGAAAAAAAAATCATAAAATATGGTTTTTGATATCAAACATTTGAATATTTCTCTTCAATTCCTTTTCTTCCATTTCGAGTACTTTACAAAAGCAACAAAAACGAAATGCTTGCACTCGAAGACTCATGAAATGTATGCGCAAATAAAAAACACAAGTGAAGAGAAGTTCTTTTCTTCTGTACAAATTGGATCAATATTGACATTGGCTTGAAGTAAATGTTGATTTTCTATCATACATAAAGTTTGTAAATCCCTCACCATAAAAAAATGAAAAAAAAAAGTTTTCCTCTAATTTTTTATTTCCAGAGGATTGTGGAAAAATAGCAAGCAAGATCTATTTTACAAGATTTTTCTTTTCTTTTTTTCGGTATTAAGTTATCAGTGAGCAAATAAGCAAGGCGTGTGCACTCTTGGGAAGTTTGTGTGAAATGAGAATTACCTTCGATGGGTTATTTCAACTTTATGCAAGCTATAAATCAAGCTGTAGTCGTAAATTTACCTCAATAATAAATATATTTTCTCCATTTTGATCGGATCTTTTGGTATTTAGGTTCAGTTTTTAAAAAAAAAATTAAAGTAAAAAAATCAGCGTGAAGAATCTTTGGAATTCGATTCTGTTTTATTGAATTTATTTCTAAGTAGATTTTTGACTAAAATTAGATTTTTTAAAAAAAAAATTAAAGCAAATATTTACATTTTATTTTTTATAAGTTTTCGAGTAAGTATTGAAAGTTTTGCCTAGTTAAAAGTGACTAAATTAAATATAAAATTCAAATTTAAGCTAAAATTAATTTCAATTTAAAATATAAGTTTTGATTTTCGATCATTTCTAATTTTTAAATCAATTTTATGTTATTTATTTCAGTGTATTTGTGTATGTAATTTAAGAAAAAATTTGAAATTTTTAAAAAATTATCTATTTCACGAAAAAGAAATGATGAAAAATACCATCGAAGCTTATAGCTTTCTTTATTTGGTATTACTAATTTGTTTCCGCCAATAGAAAGTTTTTCGAAAATTCAAAAACTTCTCGAATGATTGAGATGTTTTTAATCTTTTAACATTGACTAAGATCAATAAGAAATGAGTCTTGAGTGTACACACCTTGTTTGAAAAAGCTTCTTAAAAAACAGAGATTAAATTATTTTTAAAAGAAAACGAACAGTTGGAGAAAGAAGGGAGTGTTTGCTGTGTCAAGTGTCTAAAAAATTAATTTTCTTTCTTTTCTACAATCAATTGTTGTTATCTTAATTTGAAAGAAAACAAATGAAGTATTTTTATACTCAAAAAAAGTGCTCTGCTTTATGTCTGCATTTTGCAAACCAAAAAGAATCATAAAAGAATTAAATTTCAAAGAAATAAAAAAAAAGAATTCATTTTCATTCAATACAAAAATGCCTTTTTTATATAAAAATTCCCTTCGGGTACTCAATAAAGGGAATTCGTTTCATTGCAAAATACTCAATCTTATTGTATTATGTACTTTTTTTTATATAATCGCTAGAAAGCAATTTTTTAAGGTTTTTGACTTTTTTTTTTGCTTGTTGTAACCAATTTTGTAATGAGGTTTAGTCTTGTAATTTCATATTTTTTTAGAAAATAATAAATAAAAAGAATAAAGAAAAATGAAAATTTGACAGAGGATAAAAAAGGAGAAGAAAATCAATAACATAAATAGAAAATGAGGCAACTAACTCAATTTATATGTAATTAGTTCTTAGTTTCTTAATATTATGATTATGTGGTGGGGGGATTGGAAGCCTTTAATTTCGAGAAATACTATTTATATATACAAGAGGGCAAAGACAAAAGGGGCAAGTGAAGTTGTAGCATTAAGAACTTTTTCTTTTCATCCCTAGACAATCTCGTTAATCATTTTATCTTTCTAGGGAAAAAAAATTCTTAATGCGAACTTCATAGCGTAATTGTCCTTAAAATACATTAACTTATAGCGTCCTTAAACTGTCACATTCAATTCTCGAACGCTCTTGCTATTAATGTCCATGCTAAACTATACGTCTGAAAAAGGCTCAATTACGCTATTATTTTCATTTTTTTTTTGTGTGAATAAAATAGCCAAAAGCATGCAAAAGTACCGTTGGAGAAATTTTGTCAGATTTTTTCATTGATTTATTTTAGTTTGTTGCTAGGAATTTTGAAGATGAATTTTTAAAAAAAAAAACTTTAAATCTGAATTATGCAATATTTAAAATTTTAATTTAAATTTAAAATTTAAACACTTCTTAACTGGGATTAAGACTTCAATTCTCATAATTAATGTCACTGGAACTTAAATTATTCTAAAATACATTTTAAAATTTCCCATTACTAATTGCACTAATGAATAGTGTCTGGTTTTGTGATTATTATGATTACTTGATGAATTTTAACCTAAACTGTTCTAAAGTAACCCTCAAAAGTGACAATGAATCAAAAATTGTTGTTCCTGAATATTTAACAATCAATAAATTAAAAATTGACTAAGAACAGCCAGAATCTAGGCAAAATAAATCTCTTACTTTCGTAGAGTTAATGAACACTCGTTGTAGATGTGTCCGTGACTCTTCAGTCATCCTAAACTCCTGAATTCACAATAAATGTTTATAAAAACCTTATCCAATTTCAAAGACCATCCCAATCTTCTGTAACTTTCCTAATAATAAGAAAAAGTATATCCAATAAAAAGTTTCAATGCAATTTTACATCTTACAAAATTTTTCCAAGGGTAGCAATAAAAAAGAAGAAGAGAAAAAAAATTTATTTCTAAAGCTCATGCATAAGAAAGCTCTCAGTGATGCTTAAAAAATATAATAAAAGCTCTTTCATGAACAGAGAAAGAGAAAGCCAGAAAATTAATTTATGTTAAAAAATCAAGTCTTGTATCATAAATTAAAGGAAAATTAAGAGAAATTAAAAAAAGACATTCAAAGTATGATAAAGGAACATTTCGAATCTAGTCATAGACAGAAACACTTAACAACAACCATTAAACGCAATCATAAAACACATTAACATCATAACAATTAAAAAATTTCAAAATTTTATGTAAATTCTAACATTTCCATAAAACAAATTACTTCAAAAATGAATCAATTAAATAAAGTATACATATAGGATAGAGTGACAAGCATAATATTCGAGAACAACATCCTAGAAAATTAACTTTTCTTATCATTACTTATGGAAATTCATAACAAAAAATCATAAAAAAAGGATTTAAAAAGGAAGAATTTTTTGAGAGTTTTTCATTTCTATTAGTTGCCAAGGTTGTATGTAAAATCTTAAGTGTGCGTCTTCCGTTTGACTTTATTACCAAAATACAAAAAAAATTCAATTTTCTAAAATTGTTTAGATACGAAAAAACACGGTCCTTACTTTGTATCAAATTACACCAACTCATTTGCCAAATTGATCAATAAATTTATATTGAAACCTTTTTTTTTCTTTTTCCCAAATCAAGGAAGAAGAAAACTCGTACTTAAAAGTCTTCTTCGTATCGACAATATTTATAATTTAGAAAATTGAAGAGAAAAAAAAATTACTCGAAAATGTTTGATTAAAAAGTTCATTGTCAAGATAAACAATCATTTGAATTTGTGGAATTAACTTGTGCATAATTAATTCAGCTTGGCATTTGGGTTGAAAGGAAATGGGTTCTTTAATAGACAAATCTTGATTGAAACACATGAATATGTTATTAGCTTTTGATGTTATAATTTGATGTATAATTGGGTTGGATATCTGCTTGATTTTAAATAGATTTTCTCACACATCCTGACTCACATTCTTAATATTCTGAAGGTTTTCAGACTTTAATGACAAATTATTGAAATTAATCTAAGGAATTCTTTTTTAAAGCTAGCCCAATTCTACGAAAAATCTACCTTAGTTATAATATAAGCAATTCCCTGTACTCCTCTAAGGATAAATGATAAGATAATATCACTTAAAGTGGGCTTCAAATTAATCCTTTGATGATATTTCTGCCTTTAGCCTACAAAGGAATGCTGTAAGCTTCATTTCCAATACATATGATTCGAAAAAGGACAAATGAAACATTTCCCATGCCAAGTCTCGAACCCATGATCGCTGTGTCGTTGGTATTGTAGGTACCAAAGTACGAAGCCATTCCACCATCGAGCCACTCAAGCTCTTAATTTTAATTATGCAATTCAGTAATATTAAAAATAATTGTTGATTCTTACATAATTCAAGCACTCTTTAGAGTGTTCAAGTGCTTAATAGCAAAAAAAAAATTAAAATATTTTCATATTTCAGACATTCTCTTACACTTTATTCTACTTCCATTCAATTAAGCCAACTGCATCTCAATTATATCAGACATTTTCCATTTTACAGTAATTTATTACGAACAAGTACTTGGAAATGCTTTTAATTCTCCAACATATGTGAAGATTTTCTAAAATTGAATGCTTTTCAATAGAACGAGATCACTTCAATTATGTGAAGTAAACTTAAACACTTATTGATATTTACAATGACATTTTCACAAGAGCTTTCAATAATGTTTTAATTGATTCTATTTTCAGCAAAAGTTTTCAAAACTAGACACGAAAGGTCATGACTCGAACTTGAAGCTCATCAATAAATGAACACGAGTATTTCAATCAATATTTTTAAAGCACTTCAAATCGCAATTAAAATTCACTCAAATTTGCCCAGCGAAAAATGGAAATGAAAAATGTTTGAACCACGCTGGCATGAGTGCAGCACCTCATAAATAAAGTCAAATTAATTCAACCAATCCCGACAAATAAATCCGTCAATTTATTAAATAAATTCGCTGACAACTCAATTAACATTTGTGAAAATGAAAATAAAATCAACGCCTATCCATCAATAGAATTAAAAAACTCTCAAAAAAAAAATTGAAATCGCCAATAAATACTTTAACACATAAAAACGAGTCCAAATATAACATGGAAAAAAATAATAATAAAGAATTTAATTTGCACTAAAAAATATTTTTTACTGCATCATATACACCTTGAAACGTATGAAACAAAAAAATCATTCAAACTTTATTGCGGTGGTTTATGGATAAAGCGCTCTTTTTGGATTTTTTAAAATATGATAAATTCGGGACTGTAGAGGTATAAATAGCTCATTTTAGAACTCTATTAAATTCAATTATACTTTCAGACGGGCTGTAGTGGAGGGTTTGAACTTAAATCAATTGTTAAGGTTAATAACCCGAATAGCACAAGGTCGGTTAATCGAATAGAAACCGAGCACCAAGCTTGAATAACTCTGTCATGGTGCTAGATTCAATTTTAAGTCCAGCACAACGACAGAGTCACTATTCGGGGAGATTAATGACATTAAAGATTCCTATTCTTATGAGTTCAATAATAGACTTAATATTTCTATGAAGGGGCTAGCAACTATAAAAGGGGGAATCAACTATTTCTTTTTGCAAATACAATTTAAATATTAAACGACAGTTGATATATTCTCAAACTTTTATTGAAACTTTCGAGAGGATTCAAATCCTTTTGGACCAACCTATCTTTGAAGGAAAGTTCTAGCAACAGACAAAAATTCAAATCTGAAAGTCACTAACCTAAAGATTCATCTTCACAGAAATGTCAGACACTTGCTCAATAAATCATACTTTAATTAAATGAAACTTCAATAAGAAAAATGACCTGTTCACATCTACAGAAAGATAGATAGATAGAATAGAGTAGAATATAGATAGATAGACAACATAGAAAGAGTCAAAGTGAATTACAAACGTGCACTTAATATTTTGCGAGAAAGAGCGAGCGAGTAAAAAATTGCAATAAGAATGAAAAAAAAATTTTTATACGTTTCCGTGATGCAATAAAAAAAATGCTTTATGAATCACACTTTCAATCATAATAATAATTATTATGATAGTAGAAGGAAAAAAATCATTATCATCATAAACATTCACATAAAACATTTCTCACTTCCCCCATTTTTTTTTGTCTGACATAAGATTCTAACGGATGTTTATTGCACGATATTTTTGGATAAAATTTTAATTGATCACACAAAATTTCGTATGTGATGTCCTCGAAAAGCCATTAAAATTTTATGTCAGAAGGAGAAGCGACAATAATAAAATTAGAATTTTTGTTCTTCAAACCTTTCAAAAGATAAATGATATATTGAATGCCTTATACTTGCCTTTATAAGGAACGAGATTGTTATGAATATCGAGAATATAAACATTCCGCCAAGTCCATAGAGATGTAAGGTACGACGTCCTGTCTTATCCATTAATGGAATTGATACTAATGTCATAACAACCTTTTTTTGTGAATACAAAAGGATTATTATGCATATGTCTGCAACATAAGATGAAAAGATATCGATTCTTACCATAATGCATCCAATTCCTATTGTTGCAAACTTTGCACTCTCCTCCGTAAGACCGGAACTCATGAAGAGTGAAGTGGAATAATAAAATACCTGAAATATTATACAAGAGAGAGAAAAAGGTAGGAAATTGCAATTTAAATAGAGCATTAAGTCATTTTCTTCACTATTATGAATTGTACGAGTGTACATAGAATTTTAGCAAGAACATAGCAGGGAATATACAAGTAAGTGAATCGAGTAGGATGGAGATAGATTGAGAATAATAAAACAATGATAGCAGGAAGGGATGAAAGAAATGCAAGTAAATGGAAGGGATGTAAAGGAACAAGAGAAATGTCTTTTGTTAGACGGATACTTACAGCATTGATGCCACTCAACTGTTGACTCAATTGCATTACAATTCCAATTACGAGAGGTGCTCTTAAGGTTGGCGAACAGATTAATTCCATAATTGAAATACTGCTTTCTGATTGCTGCGCACGCTCTTCCGCTCGCATTTCCTCTATGTCCTCTTCCACTTGATTCGATGCTCGAAGTCGTCTTAAAGCTATGTAAACATATAAAAATCATAATAAGTATGTCTTTACCCTTAAGTACTTTTCATTGTTCGATTTGAGGGAAAATAAAGCTGGTTAAAAAGTCACAGAGGATCAGATGACAGATTAAGTGCAACTTGACTTGAGGCTAATGAAATTTATCGAGAAACAAGAGTGCTTCTGCTTCTATACAGCATAAAAGGAACGTGACAAAAGGGACTTTGATCTTGAAATTTTGTTGGGAAATAGAAAAAGGAATGAGCAGCTATTGAATTTGTTGGTTAATCTTCGACTTCGTGAGGATCAACAGCAATATTTATCAATTTAAAGACACAAAGAAATTTTTACAATCCAATTTACCTTTTCGTGCTTCCTCCTCCCATTGCTTAGTAATCAATAAATATCGCGGTGATTCGGGACAAATTGGTAATAATAGTAATTGTAATATAGCTGGACATATTGCTAATCCTAATAATACTGGCCATCCGTCGTTTGTTCCTAGTATTTGCTCGATGCCGAGCACTTGTGAGAGAAGTAAACCTATTGTCACAGCCAATTGATTAACAGTACCTAAACCACCTCGCAAATTTAATGGCGCAATTTCCGATATATACATTGGAACTAATGATGTATTTAAACCTGTTACGAGATTCGGAAGAGAGAGAACATAACGACACAATGGAAAATTGGAATTGAATAATGTTGTTACCCATTGGCCAACATAACATGACAATTATAGTGTCGAGTACATACCACAATTAACTCCAATAATAAATCGCCCCAGAAACAGCATTTCATATGAGTTGAGGAACTTTGTGAAACCCATTAAACATGCACCAGATATACCGAGAACATTATTCAATAACAGGCCTCCCTTCCTATATATTTTTATATCCATCAATAAAATATGCAGTGATTTTTTTTGTTCGGTGAGTTATTTTCGATGAATATGGAAATAAAAAGCATAAAAAATCGATTAAAATTTATTTTTTTTTTAAAAAAAAAACAGCATAAAGCGTGGAAAATATAGAAATAAAATGATTGACAATCCATACCGTCCAAAACGATTTGCCATCCATCCACCACTAAAACCGCCAAGCATACCACCAATTGCAAATATCGACACAGCCACTGAATACAATTGTTGAATAAATTCCTCGCTTATATCTTCACCATAGCGATCTTTATAAACATCTTTCATAAAATTTTCTATATTTATTTCAGGTGCATTTATAACTCCGGTGTTGTAACCGAATTGTAACATGCCCAGCACGGCAGCAAATATCGAATACGTAAGGAAGAAGGTTAAACCCTAGCAAGAAAAGAAAGAGAAAAAATAATTTTTTAACACTTTTGAAATGCCTAATGACAGCACTTAAATAAGTTATAACATGAATTTATATGTGTGGTATATCGGAACTATATAAAAGTATAGAAAATAAAAGAAAATATATATAAAATTTATTGTGTACACGTAGTGACTCTGAAATGCTATTAAAGTTTCGTTGGGAGCTTTTAAGCATTTCTTTTTTTCTTCTCTTCCTTCGTGGAAAATTTATGAAGAGTTGAAGTGTTGAATTTTATAAAATTTTAATTTGTTGAAGTGTTGAATTTTATAAAATTTTAATTTGTTGAAGAGTCGTGAGCAACATACGATGCTCATTCTATTGTGGAAGAGATGCTCATTTTCAAGGTTGACATGCGAAAATCAAATTTAGAATTTTTAATGTTTTTATGTTTGAAAACTAGAGCAGATTTTATGTTCTTTGTGTTCAGTGACACTACCATCAAGATATTTAGGACGCTTTGAACAGCAGTTTAAAGGATGAAGTTGAGTGTTTGATGTTTTCAATATTAATAAAACACATATGAATTCGAAAGTTTCGTAACTTAACATCTCTAAGTCATTTCCATGACTATAGAGGGGACTAAACTTAAGTTTAAGAGCCGTGACTCATGAGCGAAGAAAGGAAGCTATTCCAAGAAGAGATTATATATTTTAAGGGGATGATCTGAATTTTATTCAGCACAATTTTTATATCTTTCATCTGTTTGAACTATCTTGGACAACCATAACCTTAGTAATGCCATGAATAAGATAGAATTCAACCAAAAGAGCCGTTTATGTAATTACAGATAGTCAAAGAAGGTTGTTGCAAAGTCCAAACCCAAATTCATATTTATCTGATTCGATAAAGATCACCAATTCCATGTGTAGGATCGATTAACATCAATTCTACTTATTTAACTGAAGTTTACTGGCATTTCTGCCTACATTTGTCTCCTTAGAGTCTAAAATTGTAAATCTTCTTAAAAATTCAATTTATAAATGCCTTAATATACGAAAAATCAATAATTCTAATTTGGAACCTCTAAACAAAAGAAAACGTAACCGTTTAACAACATAAGAATAAAATAAAGTATAAATCAACACACAAACCGAAAAAGAAACAATAAAGAAAAATTCCTACAACTTTTATTGATACATAAAAAATCAAAAAAAAAATATGAAAAAATAAAAATAATAAAAGACAAATGAAATGGAAGTTTTTTGTGCTTTTTATTTTTTGACTCAACACACTTGTTCCAATAAACGAAGCTTTCTTCTTTGTGTATGCTCTTCCAAGCGGTCAACATATTCACGAAGCTCCTCAATTTCTTCTTTAACTTGTTGAACTGTATCCAATTCATGTTTTATCGCAACCATATCTCTTTTAACCTTTTTTTTTTGTATTTCATTCATTGCCATATTGTTGTATAGTGCGGCGATAGTGGGGAATAAAAAGAAGAAGAAAAAGAAAATATTGAAATGGAAAAAGTCACACAATAGAAAGAAAAAAAAATATTTTACCTCAGACACTTCACTTTGGCAGCTCTCAACTGACTTTGTCAGCTCTTGGAGCTGTGTGCGAATTTCGCACAATGCCACTGATGTCTCCATGTATTGATCACCTCGTTGCAAATTATCCAGTTTACAGTTTAAATTCATGCTGAATATTAAAAATGAAATATGACAAAAAAAATTTAACAATTCAGGCTCACGATTTGGTTAATTAAAATTCCTTACCTCATTACACTCACTTGTTTTTGCAAACTTTTTAATGTGCACACATTTTTTAATTAAATGAAGAAAATTTAAATGAGAATTTTTTTAATTATTATTGAAATAATTATGACCCCTTAGGGAAATTTCGTCAGATGTTGGGAAGTTACTGAATGTGTGTTAATGTTATGCTATAAAAATTTAGGTTATGTAGTCACTATAATTTTAAATTAAGACATTTATGGGTGTTGGTTTTAGCGAATACACCTTATTTAAATAATTTAATGTAGATGAGAACATATGGAGGAACAAAAACATAATTTTCGAGATTTTTTAACATCAAGATTGAGTTATTTGGATGTACTCTAGAGCAGTGTTTCTTAATTTGTGTTCCGATGTAAAGCTTAGTCTAGTCTTATTAATTCTTATTTAGAATTTTACTGGTTCCACGGTTTTTCAGACACACATAAGCTACTCTATCAATTAGCTTTAAGTCAGCTCATGTTTTTAAGAACTAAGTGAATCAAAAATCTTCAAAATAGCTGCTTATGTGCCGTGAATTAAAATAGTTTGAGAACCACTGGCCTAGAGTTCTATAAAATAAACTCATAGGATGATTAGGGACCTACTAAGTACGAAAAGACACCAATGAGCATAATATTAGTCTGATATTGAATTTCAAATATCTCAAACTCTAAATTCAGCGTTCCAAACGTTTCCAAATAAAACTGACAAAATTTACCCTCAGGATCATTACAGGAAAATATATATCATCACAGTAATTTACATCATAATATATGAACAAAAAAGAATATATTGATAAATAAATAATTCATAATACAGTAGAATTGTATTCAAATATATAATATATATAATGATAATAATGATGAATAAAACAATTAAACAACGAGCTTTATTGATGCTAAAGAAATGTTTTCTCAAATTCTTATTTTTTTCGCTTTTAATCAATAACAAAGTTTTATGAATAGATAAAGTTTATTCTCTCATAAAATGATTTATTATAGATATTCATGACATTTATTTGCCGCAATGATATTTTAAGCATCTCTTTCATAACTTATCTCTTATGAATTGTGAATTTTTTTTTTTGAGAATTCTAAAATATTCATGATTTTAGGTAGAATTTTTGAGATGTTCTGAATATTTTAAGGTAGAGGTAATAAATCTATATCTAGGATTGGCTTAGATTGTCATATTCGCACCATTATTTTTGTGGATTCACAATCAATCGATCACAATTTTTCTTAAAGCATTCAATGCTGTCATTTGTCTTGAAATGAGGATTTGTTTCTAGGACAGTGCTTTTGAGAATGGTGGAATAATGACGATTAGAGAAATGCTCAAAAATTAAGATTCGATTTAATTTCAAAAATTTTCAAAACAATTCTTATTTAATGTTGTTATGAAGATGAATCAAATTATGAATCTTCTGTCCATCGCACCACCTGAACAACAATAAAACTTTTTAATTCCCCCAAGCAAAAATGCCATAATTTAATGAAATGTTCACAAAGAAAAGTGAACAAAAAGTTTTGTCATCTATCTTCAAACCAAATACCATATCATTAATTAAAAGCTTGCATCAACAAAGCTCTGGAATTAAACTTTTTTTATTCATTTTCTAAAACAACCAATTTTTCTTGTTTTATATAAAAAAAAAATTCTTTTACGAAAAAAGAGAGCACAACGAGAAACCATAAACGAATGAAAGTGCAAGATGATAAAAAAAAAGCATTGTAAGAACAAAACAAAAAGAAATTTTTTAACCATGATTTAACTTAAAAAACAAGTTTCAAATGAGTTTTTTTTTGTTTGTTCCTAGACATCATAATACAACAGAAACAAAGAATGAAGAAGAAAAATACAAAAAAAAGTTCAAAAAACAAAACAAAAAATTAATAATGAAAAAAGTACAAAGAAAATCACCTTGGATATGGATTAAAAGGATCCATCATCATCATATAATGGACTGTTTATGTTATTTTTTTATGAATGCAAAACAAATTTGTTTCGAGAAAAATCTTTCGATGATTTTTTTCTAACTTTTTTTTTTATTCTTTCTTATAGTAAGTTTGTATTTTACTGATAAATGACTTTTCTTAGTTTTTCAATTCATCAGAATTTTCTTTTGTTTTTCTGTATCTATAATCTGAAATATTGTTATTTGTTTTAGTCAAGGTATGGCACTTGATATTGATCCGTAAATTCATGAATAATCTCAATAAAGTCTAGATAAGCTCAGGCATTTGAATTTGGGGAATTCAAATGAAATCTTTTTAGGATGGGAAATTGAGACAAGGATTTTTCTTAGAAATATTTGTAAAAAAATTTTTATAACTTAATCGAAAATGGTTTAAAGATTTTTCTTTGTTTATCAGAAATATTCATTAATAGCTATATGACAATATTTTATATATTTATAAACAACTCAAAATAGTTCAGATTACGTTAGTTTTAAGATTGAATATTCTCGTTTTAACTTCTAAATTGAAGGTTAGACGAAGAAAAACCTCGAACACTAAGTTTAAAACAATCTCAGCTAATAAGACAACAGTTAAGGAGTTTTATTATCATCTTTTGACTTGATATGAACAATTCAAGAATTCTCAAAATTACAGTTTCGTCCAAAACTTATAAAATGTGCTTTTTTGTCTGCCTGCCATAAAAAATTCGAAGATCGATACCCGAACTGAGTTCGAAATTTTCGAAAATTTGTAAAAAATTGAATTGTTCAAATCAGCTTCTGACGAATCGTTTATTTATTTTGATTGCATTTTTATGGGGATCGTTGTGACTTTTCAGTAAAAATTGATTAAAATCATATAAAAATTTCGTACTTAGTTTTTTAAAAATGTATTAAAAAGGGGGAAGGGTCAAAAATTATATTTTATTTTTGTAGAAGGGAATTTAAACCTTATCAAGGAATAGCTTTATATCACATTATTCATGATTTTTAAACTTTCATCAATATTATTCACAAGTGTTCACACCTTGACCAAAGACCCTATTTCTCTCTTTCTTTTGTCTCTACCTATCCAGCCGAAAAAAACTTTCTATGTTATAAGCTTTCACGTTTCCTTCCTCTTCTTTTCTTTGTGATCTTAGCCCGGGAACATGAAATTTTTTTTCTTCTTTCCTTTATTTTATTTATTTTTATTTTTATCTTCTTCACTTTATTCTCACTTATGAATCAAGTTTTGTTCATTCTTTCCTTTCATTCATTTTTACTTCTTATTCTTATTGTTCGTGTGGAGAAGAAAGGAATCAAAAAACTTTCTCATATTTCATATAATATTTTTTTATGTACATACATATATACTTTGAGTAGTACACAGACAGTAGAAAAATGAGAGAAGGAAGAACAACAATACAAGCAAAAAAAATATATTAAATGAGAAAAATGCTTTTTATCAGTAAAACTTCTCCTCGTAATATGGTTCAATATGAAAATCTAGATGAAAAAGAAATAAAGAAAAATAAAAGAAAAATCCAAATAAATGTTTTGCAGCTTCTTTTTCAAAATTAATAATAATAATAAGTTTTCTTCTTTTTTTTGTTCTTTCGTCTGCAAAAGCTTTCCCATTGCTTAAATGTATCTACAGTTATTGAGTGCGGGGTGCCAACTTTACTTGAGAATTTGTTTGAGAAAAAAAAGAAGCTTTTGCGATGATAATTTTCACAAAAGAAAGCTGCCTTCTGCCAATTTTGGTTTTGAAAGCATCTTTGCATCCCGTTGTGATTCAATTTTAAAGAAATTGAAATTCTTGATAGAAATTGCATTTCTTAAGCAAAAGATAAAGTGAATATTTTTATGATACTTTCATCTCGGGTTGCATTCTTTAATATATTTTATGCATGCTGTTTTCATAAAGGTAGAAAATTGTTTTGAATGGAATTTTATAAGATTAATATTTTTCAGTGTTATGTGATCAAGATAGAAAAATAGTCAGATATTATGACATTGTTTAAGAGTCAGAGAAGAGTATTTCTGGCTCTGATTATTCCTTGAATTAATGATAAACCTTATTTTTTCATTGAAACACTCTAAACCTAATTTTGTATCAGTTGTAATCAGTTGTACAATTAAACGAAATAGACTTAAATTCAGTCAACTCATTATTAAGTGTCCAGATGATTGTGAGAGTCAAAAACCCAAATTAAAGAATCTTAAAGACCAATTTTAATACAAAAATTCCAAAGAATCAATTTCATTACAACATCTTTATATTTAGCAATAGACAAGATCTAAATCAACTTCCAATTTTCCGCGTATACTTCAATATCACTTCCTACAAAGCTTTTTTTTATCGATAAACTAATTTTACAGTCTGAAAGCCCTTGGCATAAAATTTATCAGTCTTATCGTTATTTAAACACACCCGCGCCGTGTCTGAATCACCGTCTTCCTTTCGCAGAAAAATTTTTTTTTTTGCTGTTCAAGATTCCCCAAAAAAATTGGCACCCTCCTCATGATATTGAGCATGAAAAATAAGTCGTGTTTGTAGAAAGCTTTAAATAAAATGATAAAGCAAATAAATTTACGACAAATGTTATTATACTCTCTATACAGAAATGAACGGAACTATAGATCTATATAACGAGTATTTTGTAAGCGTAAGAACGAGAGAGATAGAGAGAAAATAATATCAAGAGACGAAAGTGAGCAATGACTTGTGGCGAAATATATATTTGCAATAAATAAAAGAATAGTAGAATAAATATTTTGTGGAACTATTAAACTCATAACAGACATGAGTGGATGATTTCAACTTTTCTTTTTTCAAATATGAAAGAGCAAAAAAAAAAGTTATAAGGGATGATGAAGTAGAAGAATCATAATGTATAGCATATAGAAAGGAATCAATAAATGCGAGAGAAAAAAATAAAATTACAAAAGAAGGAATCATTTTTTATCATCAATATTTCCTTCGTATATTTGTTTTTGGTCATAATCGAGAGACTCACTCGTTAAGTAACTGTCGTAATGTATTTTCCTCATCATCTAGATTACTTTTCAATGACGACCGAGAACCTCTGCTATTTATGCTTCGTCGACTTTTCAATGAATTTCCTGGCGAACGTCGCGGTGTTTGGTAATGAATATGCGAATGTGGTGATGATGATGTTCTCCCATCGTCTAAACTTCCACCAAACCTTTGTTGCGTATCTTTACAGTAATGATTATTTTTTTTTTTTGTATGGGGAGGACGGGCAATAACAAATAATATTAGTTATTAGTCATAGTTATGAGAATCGAAAATTATAGAAATAGTTTTGGGTACACAATTTATTGAGGGGTTGTGGAAGTTGATTGAATAAGGCAACTGATTGCTGTTCATGAAAATTTGCTGATTTGACTCATTATTTCCATCTGATTTGAGCTTTTATATCCTTCAATCAGAGAAAAATTCAATCAACTTCCACTACTCCGTACATTAAAAACCAATAATGATATTTTCCGAGGGGTGATGAGCATAGCCGCTATTAATTTCAAATTAAGTTCGAATTTCAGTATTTTTAAAAATTTATTTTGTAATTGGACTTTTGAAGTTTGAAAAAATTATAAGTTCTCTTTCGAAAAAATTCATGATTTTCAACCTTAAAAATCAGGGAGTCAAATCGAACCATTAGCTATATCGCCCCTTAAAATCATTGCTATATCTTCATCACATCCTGGAAAAATCAGAAATTTTAAAATATTTTGTTCGATCTTACAAAGTCTACTATCAGGACGCAACCTAACCGGAGGTGACGTCAGCTTAAGTGTTGAATGTGATACAGCCGACCGATGAGGTATTGGCCCTCCGAAAACATAATCATACGTTGATTCCTCTTTTAATCCCGACACGACTATAAATACAACATTTATGTATTAAAATTTTTAATTTTTATCACGTTTTCTAATGAACTTGTGTAAGCATAACAAAGTCAATGCATTCTAAAATCTACATAAACTATTAACGAATAAGTAATAAGGACAATGTACTTGTGGAATAGGAAGAAACATAATTAACATAAATGTTTGCATTTAAATTAAAATTAAAATTATATTACAAATACATATTGTGATTAATGCTGTACAAAGAGACTTTAACACTAATGTAAAACATACACACAAAGTAAATTGAGTTCATTGAATTTAATTTATAACTTTATGCTGCAAAAAAATGAAAAGATGGAGTAAAATTCCATGGAAAGTTTATGCTCAGCATGAAGAGAATTTTTTTAATAAACTTGTAATAATTCCATGAAATTTATTCACATTTCCTTTCCAAAGAATGAATAAGCAACACAAAAACATAAACCTTAAAGGGAAACTGTTGAATTATTAATTATCATGAATGCTGCTTTAAGCACAGAACTTTATGAAAAATTATCAGTCTGCAAAACTTCATTTTTGTGCATAATTTAAAGATCTTTTTTTGATAAATCTTGTAGCTCATGTTTAATTGAGATTAAAGGAACAAGCATTGTCATTAAATGAAAATTGCTTTTATGCATTTTTATGGGAAATTTGGGAAATTTTGGTGAGAGTGGATTGAATTAATAATTTTTATTGCAGTTCTTCTTTCTCTGTGTGTGGAATTTATGAATATGTAAGGTAAACCTTGTACAAGCTTTTGAGGATTAATTAGAAATATGCAAAATCATTGCAATAGCCACTGAATAAATTAAGAAGAGAGAATAATAGGGATAAGGTTTATGGAAACCTGGAAGACTTTTAGACTCAAAGCGATGTCATAGTCTGGTATTCTAGCATTAAAAAATGCATTGCCATGCCTAAGCTACATCTGAAAGACATCAGAAATAAACGGAACCTTAAATAAGACGGAACCTTAGAAACTTTGCCACAATTAAGTCCATAAAACGTCTAATTGCACCTCCCAAAAAAACAATTATGTCCTACTTTCTGTGACTGTAGCAAGCAGGTTCCATTTTTAGGTACTTATGCAGTCGTACTTCAGTCACACAAAAAAAAATTTTCTAAAGCCAATTTCATCGATTCTCGATCAATATTTACTTAAAACATAAAAACAACAGCCATAATTTTCCTGACAGCTGTGTTTCTAATCAACAGTCATAAAAAAATCATAAGCAAGCATCAATTTACAGCATAAATCTACACCTAGTTTCTAGCCAATGTTGGAAAATTTGGAATTTAGCAGAGATCGAAGCCGATTTTTTCGGCTTAACTCAATTTTTGATTTTTTTGATAGAAAAAAGCCATTTAACACCCATTTTAAGTATTTAAATTGAACTTTACATGCTTTACTATGATTCTGTGAAATATTTGTTCAGCATGTAGCTATAGTGAGCTCAGAGTTTCAAGTTAAAGAATGTTAAGCCGAATTTAAGCCGATCGGCTTAAAATCGGCTAAATTGAAATTCAGAGCTTACTATAGCTACATGCTGAAAAAATATTTCACAGAATCATAGTAAAGCATGTAAAGTTCAATTTAAATACTTAAAATGGGTGTTAAATGGCTTTTTTCTATCAAAATAATCAAAAATTGAGTTAAGCCGAAAAAATCGGCTTCGATCTCTGGAATTTAGAAATAAAAAAAGACATAAAAGTTTCATCATGGAGAAAATTTACGACAGAACAACAAGCTACTACGTAACATCAGTGAATTAATTAAAAATCAATTTTAAGTAAATAAAAGTTTTTGATTGAAGCTCCTAAAGAACCAACACACGTGCTCAATTTAAAAAGATATTTTCTTGGTCTTGCAAAAAAGCACACAAATACGATTTTTTGGTAAGCACCTGGAAACACGGCTAAAGTTTGTAAAATGTGTTGAGTCGAACGTAATGGTGGTAATAAAGGAGGTAGTTGAGGCTCTAAGCCGTTTGAATTTGAAGACGAAGGAGAGGTCATCGGTGGCTCAGTTGTTGCCGTACTTTCGCTTGCTATAATTGTTCATTTATACAACAATATGCACGAAGGTAACGGGAAAAAGCGACGAGGAGGGTTAAAAAATTAAAAAGGAATGAGAACAAGAAAAATAGCATTTTGAAATATGAATTTGAAAGCTTTAAGCTGTAAATCTAGAGAAGTTTTCTTCTCTGAAATGATCAATATAAAAATGAATGTTGAATGAAGAAAATAGTCATGAATTTTTATATTTTAATGACTTTTCTTTTCTTCATTCAGCAGATTTCTTGGAACAATTTGGGCAGATTTTATCTTTTTATTAATTTTGTGCTGATTTTCAGCTGTCTATGTTTCTCAAGATGACGAAATTTGCTCTAGGAAAACTCATCGTTGGATGAATAATTAAGCATAGGAACAGCTCTTTAAAAATTCATTGAAAATATTGAAAATTGTGATGGATTATTTATTATTATTATTATTACCGGACAGTATGTCGTCAATAAATGCAATAAAGTGCAATTAAAATGAAAAAAAATTATTATTATTATTTATTATTCAAGGTTATATCCAGTCATTTCTACACCAACACAAAGAAATTTCTTGTAAAGGAACCTTGATTTATCGTCTTTCGTAAGATCAAAATCTCAAATATTTTCTTGTTATGCTTAAATTATCCTTTTATGTTTATTTTAATTGGCTTTGTGATCTGAACTGGCTGAGTAGCAATCATGGGTTCAAAACTCAGAAAGAGAAGCTATAAACTTGACGCTTTTAAGTCTTTTACGTAATCAAAGCCTCTTTTTCAAGCGTTCAATTAGGAAAGTCATGAAAAAGTGACTCGGATTCTTACATGAACAGTGTAGGTCTAAGAACCTTCATTTACGAAGCTTGTATTAGCCTTATTGAGCAACCTTGAATCTAAGAAATTAGCAGGATAAGATTCAATGCCCGAGCCTCATATTTAATCTTCATAAGCAACTAAATGATTATTCTGACCATTATCCAGAGATGACCTTATTAATTGAATCATCCAGTAATCAAAAAAATGCCGAAAATTCTTCCAAGGATCAAAAGTAATTTCATTCATAGAAAATAACAAGATTGTCAAATAATAAAAAGACGAGACTCACCTCAATACCCAGAGCAGCCATTTCGTTCCACACCACTTGAGATGAATCAAAATTTGCTCCTCACTTTCACTTAGCTTAAACACAATTTTCTATGCTTTCTTTGTTTTCTTATTAATTTTAATTTAATTTAATTTTCTCTTGTCTGTTATCTTCACTATTGGAATTTCTTTTATGTAATAATCTCTATCTTGTCTTTATGCTTGTTATCTTGTCACCCACAAAATGAAAATAATATTTGTGTTATCAGCAATTCAAGTAATTCAACCACTAATACAAAAAATGTCTATATTTCATTCACAAATAAAATTATAATTATTTAAATCACTTATCACTATCTAGTCTGTGTAATGTCATTTAATCATTTCATTTTATGTCTATTTATCTTGCCGGTTTGTTCTTTATCTGCAAAGAAAAATAAAAAAAGAAATGTAAATAAAATGGTAAAGTTTACATGCGGTTATCATCATCTTTTAATGAAACTTTTTTTTCATGTTGTGAGCTTTTTTTTCCTGAAATGCATGACTAACATGAAATGGCAAATTCTCAAAGTGAATATTCCATTCCAAGTCAAACATCACTTCATTAATTATGCAAAAGCAAAAGCTTCGTCTTTCTTTCATTTTCAAGTTTTTTTCACTCTCATTTCAAGCATAACAGCATTAAAATGGATTTTCATCATTCGTCATTTCAAGTTTTTTTTTTGTCAATTCGACAATGTTATGCAGTTCTTTGCTTTCTTGCTCTCTTTCATCTCAATTTGCTTGCCATAAATTTAAATGTATTCGTTTGTAATGCAAACATTCACATGAGAACATGAGAAATATATGTGAACAAGATTGAGCAATCGACTAGGAGAGAGACACATTTATGGAAAATGTGAGAACAAAAATAAAAGCTGCATAATTTTTTTCTTTTCTAGTTCTATGAACTTTTTTTTTTGTGCATTGTTTGCTCTACTATTGAGGATTAAAACTTTTTTTTGGGTGGTGGAAAGTTTGGAAGTTGGAAAAGGGAACTTTTAGGAATTGTCTTTGAATTTTGGAACAATTCTTTACACAACTTGGCTCCTCTGCATTAAGCTGGTGGCAAATCACAAATATGACCAAATTTTGGTTTTATATAATGTCACTATTGAAAGATATGAACCTTACAAACAAGCACAAAGAAGAATAGTTTTATGCAATGGATCCCGGATGAGATTCAAACCTCGAAGATTGAATTAGATTAGTGTTTTTAAAAACACACGCTAGTCATTAGTGCCCCAGAAAATAAAGCACTTAGTTTGTGCTTTTAAAATGAATGACAAGCCGACATCTTTGAAGCAATAATTGTATGTTTGGTCAAAGGTTGCAATATGATGACATTTGAATAAATTTAGTGTCAGGGTCACGTGAAAGTCGAATGAATCTAGTTAGAAATTACTGTCACGAGTAATGAGTTTTCTCATGAAAAATTCTAATTTCAATTTTGAGTATTATAAATGCAGTTCATTACATTCCAAAGTTATAATGACTCTTGAGAAGTTTTTAAATACTAGTTAAGTACAAATTTCAAGTTTCGACATCAAAACAACTCAAATAAGCAATTATCATCAAGCACTTGTCAAATGTTTCTTATCCAAAAACCACTCTCATTTCCACTTTCAAATTCTCTTTTATATAGTTTCGAAATCCACTTCAATGCAATGTCAACTTACTAACAAGCTCTCATTCTCACATCACTCATCACTATAAAAAAATGCAGGTTTTCAACCCTAGAGAAATTCTCTTTTTTGTGTTGTTCAATTGAAATTCATCAAGCAGAACATGCTTTTCAAAATAATTTATTGAGAAAAAAAATATACATCGACGAACGATATTGTGCGATGTTAAATAAAGTTTACACACGAATGAACTACAATCTTTCTATAAAACTGGTTTTTTTTCTCTCTTTTCATTCGATTGTTATTTACCTTGTGTCGTATACAAAACAAAACTACACAATAATAAAAGAAATTCTTCAGATAAAAATCTCGTTTTTTTTTTGCAACAATTTTGTATGCTTAAAAATTATTATTCTTTAAGCATTGCTGATAAGTTCATCGTGCGAATTAAATCACGTTATGATGCTATTAAAACTGTATAAATTTATATTCAAAAGTTTATCACGAATGTCAAGTGCTTACAACAGCTTACACAGATACTAATGAATGACCGGAGTCGAGAAATGAAAATAAAAATAAAAAGCAAGTTGTGGAGTTGATGGAAGTCGTTGACTGTGGAGCGAATTTTTGTTCTATTAGATACATTTTTTGGAATTTTACCAAGGAGTCGTTCACTTATGACGTCCGAGATTAAGAGGTGAGGGAGGTCTAGGATTTTGAGACAAGTCAAACAAAGAAATGTTTTTTCATATGAATTTTGTGACAGGGGCAGGGTGGGGAGAGGGTTTAAAAATCATGTTTTTGAAGGACGTCATAAGTGAATGACCCCTACGGCTGATTAACGGACTTGATTTATTAGTCTTGTGTGCAGACCATTGTGAAGTCAAAAAGTTTTCTAAAGTGAGAAAGTGGGGGGGGGGGGGGTTGGTGTATCGATATAAAATTAGTCACGAGTTTTCTTTTATAAAATAATTTGAACCATACAAACCAACACTAGACTCAACTTTTTACTACCTCAAAAATAAAGAACATGTCATTATCTGTCAGCACTACTCAAAATTGAGCAATAAAATTTTTTTTAATCACATCATTCTCCGTCGCAAATAATATTTTGTAATATTTTATTGGCTCTCAATCCATTCAGTATCAAGCAATTCAAAAAAAGAATGTTCAATTTTAATTAAATCGCATATTTTACGAGTTGTCAGAGAAACAAAGTCAAAACGAAACACTGAAATGCATTTACACTGCAGATATGCGATAAAAACGTGAGACGAGAGCAGATTGTGCTGTGTTTGCTTGTGTGAAATGCCTGGAGGAATGTAGCAAAAAAAAAGTATTATAGAGATGAAGACACAAGAAGGAGGACAAGCTTAGTGTCATGATGCAATTTTGTGTGCTTTTTCATAGATCCGAGCAGCATGCTTTTAGAGAATAAAATGATAACAGCCGTCGTACAGTTGCAGTTCCTTAGCAAATATATTGTGTAACTCGGGTTTGTTCTTCACAGTCTGTTTTCTAGGAGCAAAGTTTGCATAAAATTATTAAAGAAATGTTTATGTGCTCATTTTAATTAATTTCACATGAATGAATTTTCAAAATGATTTGTTATATCTCAATCATAGTAAGCTTTTCATCTCGAAAAAGACTTTTCAATAAAAACTTTATTTTTTGCCTATTTTGAAAATTTTCTCTTCCCATTCATTCCTTATTGTATAAAATAATTTCAAAAGAAATCAATTGAAGTGGAAATGGGAACGCAAACTCGAGCAGCAGAAGCACTAGAGCGAAAGATTGAAAAGCACATAAAGGAGCATGCTGACGACATGAAGAATTTGAAGACTGAAATACAAAGTTTGAAAATAATGAAGCCAAAAACACAAAAGGATCATCGACCATTTAATGATAACAAAAGAGTCATTACTAATGCGAAAAATGAGAATTATCGAAAAATGTCTGCAAAGCCATTAAAAAATCCTCAAAACGATAGTAAAGCAACAACATCAACAACAGCGACAACTCTAAACAATTTTGGCGACAAAATGACCAACAAAATGGTAATTTTCTTCCTTCTATATCCCACAAAGCTGTTCCGATTTCAACGGAGACAGTTTTCTCTCGAAAAAAAAACGTACGAAAAAAAATATCCCGTTTGTCATAATTTTCTGCTCTTTTTACCACCACCCTTAACGCCATGTCTCTTCCAGGATTTGCTAAATCATCATCATCAACAACAACACCATCCAAATGACGACGAACATTTAAAAGCAAATAATGGCTTATATCAAACGGAGAGTCTTTGCACACTGGATTCTTACAATAATACAGTCATGTCATTGCCAGAAAGTGTCATGACTAAAATCAATTATAATGGAAGCGTAATGCCATCACCAGTCAGTCCAATTAAGCTCCTACAGTTTCTCATTATGGAACTGAAAACAAAATTAAAGGATTATGTTGCGGAAGGTGAAAATAATTGTTACTTTATTCGATGATTTATCGATTATTGTTGTTAAAGTAAGATGGACTTTTATGAATAGTTTATGAATAGACTTTTATCTGTACAGTGTTTTGTCTGTTGTGTCACTAATATTGGAACTTGGATAGATAGTTTAGTGTTTTGATGGCAATTTTCAAACATAATCAAGGAATATAAAGCACAACTTTAAATGCTGTGAAATTTTAAAAAATTTTGACGATTGCTAGCCTGCACCTAGTAAAATTAAAAGGGAGTAGTTTAGAAAAAAAAACCATTTTTGAAAGACGTCATAAGTTAACGACCATATCTAACCTTCAAAAAAATTTGCTAGTCATGAAATTTAAGTTTATTTAAGGTTTTCAGACAGAACACGCAAATTTTATTGAAAAATAATAACTGCCGTGACAAAAAACTGTTATATGCATTTAGATACTCAAAAAATTAATCATAGAGCATGCAAAACTGTTTATTTGGAATATTCAGACAATAATTAGACTTACTAATTACAGGGATTAAAGTTGGGGACGAAGGTATTTAATAAAGAGTCCACCATTTAAAAAGTGGCACATAATTCTAAGGGAGAGGATGAATTAGATGGTAATAGCTCCTGATTGTTCCCTTAAAAAGCAATTAACAACCTTTGCTGCTGTCTAATCAGGCTTACGTATAATAATTAAGATAAACAATGAACAGCTTTAAATCTGGATACAATCGATAAATCATTCCAAGCGCTCTATTAATAAAATTGTAAATAATTTCTAAACTTCCATCTACTCATAATAAACATCCCATTCCCCTTCTGTTGATACATAGACGACGTGCAAATACCAAAGATATTGAACGAAATCAATTATGCTATTAAGCATGTCATGCTTGAACGTAAATTAAATAAGGTAAGATAAATTTATCTACGAGAAAATTAGTTTCAAAAAAGTCAAAAGACTGAGCTTTTAAATATCATTTTGTGTTTATAGTCGAAGACGAGTCAGATGATGGATATTAATCAAATATCAAATGACAAAAATTTTACATCAAAGGACACTCAAACTGATCTTAAAGGTGATGACGTGGAAAAATTGGTTGATTTTCAAGATAAATATTTTACGCTTCAGGCAGAAATGGATGTCAATTTGAGGTAAGACTCTTTCTTTTTCATACTTGCTGTTACGTAACTGAATTTTTTACCTACACATTCAGACGAATGGAAGATGTTTTTACGGTGGAATTGAAGAAAAGCGACGACAAAATCACAAAGTTAAGGGATGATATCAACGTGATGCAGGTAAGGGTCTTGGATGGAAATTTTCTTTTCCTTCAAGTTTCCGTCTCGTCTGTTCTTAGGAAAAATTTTATTTTCGTTAACTTAAAGTTTTTAAAGTAGAAATTTCTTGAACCGTTGTGAATGTTATTTTTAGTCATTGCTTGATATAAAAGTTGGGTGAGGTTTTGGTCAGATTTTTCTGACAATCCCTATCTTGCTACCTGGCTACACACCTGATTTTATGTCAAACCTTTAAGTTAAGTACCTTTCAACTTTGTTTTAAACCCCCAAACCTCTTCCTTTATGAAAGCTTATTCAAAAACCTAATCCTTAATTTTGACAACTTTTTAGAAGTTGAAAAATAATTTAAGATATAAAATTTTAATCAATTCCACATGTAAAGTCATAAAAACCCTTTCATCTTCAATTTTAGACTAGCTTCAGTCATGGAATCGAAGATAAAAATCACTCAATATCCCATCACATCGACTTGAAGATTGAAGAAATTAAAGGCGAAATGAAATTCCTTATAGGAATGCTTGGGTGTGTATTTGATCATATAAATATATAAAAAAAAGTCTAAAAGGAACTTAACATGAAGAAGGAAAACTCCTTTTCATGTTAAGGAAGGAAAGAAAACTTTTAAATCAATACTTTTTTTTTAAAAAAAAAGTCAGAATAAAGGAAAGAAAAATTGTTCATTCACAGAGAAACAAAAAACCACAATCTCATTGACAACTTGAGCAAGAAACTGGCACAAACTCAGAAGAAAATCGACGATGTGAAAATAAAGTGCACGGAAACAGCAAAAAATTGCCTGCAAATGCATGTTGAGAATGTAAGTTCCTTTATTATAATAATAGTAAGTAAGGTCAAAAGTGGAATAAGTTTTACATTGAATAAGGGGCTGTGAGTGAGAAAGAACTAGTCAGTGATTGAGGGTAAATATAATATGAATTTGGTCACGCAATAAGAAACAGAATTGATTAATGATTGCTGTATTGTGAATGATTCTACGTCTATGACTTTCACATTTTTCTCTCTGCTTCCTGTGCTGCTCGAAAAGTTCCTGAGTTACTTTACATTTCTAAGATAGTGACTACAAGTTCAAAAACACGGAAGTATCTGTCATGTTTCATCTATGGGTTTTGAAAAATGACAATTTCATGTATGACGAAGAGCTTGCGAGACATCATTTTTCATGAATTAATGAGAATTGAACACGTATCAATGAAGCTTATCTGTCCTCGTCCTTTAACATACCCTCACAAAAAATTCTATAAAAAAAACAGTTTTGTGATTTTATGATCGGTTTTAAGAACATTCTCACAGTAACTTCCGCACATCAGCATGACGTTAAAGGACATTATCTATTTCCATATCCCCCAAAAGATTTGAAAATTTCCATAAAAAAATTTCATTTGTGACGTAAAGCATTTCTTATTGCTAAATGTATAGCTTATATTATCGTCGTTTAGTTTAATTTCAAGATGCATCAATCATTCGCTTCATTCTTAGCAAATCCCCGAAATGAGAACGAATAGGAAGTAAGACTTAAGCTGGGAATTGACGAATAAGATAAAAAGTAGAAGTTGTCTTTGGTTTTAATAGTTAATGATGGCAGGATTGGGAGGTTGGAAAGTTCTCAATTAATTTTAACATGATTATTTGGTGCTGATTTTGTTTTGTTGGCTTGTGCTGCTTGTAACACTTCACATTTACCGAAAATTTTAGGATATATAAAACCATATTTGGCTCTTAATACTCAACATTCAGTAAGCACTAGTTCTTTACGGCAAGACAACAGAATTACAATTCCAAAGATCTCAACAACAAAAAAAAAGGCCTTAAATCAAAACTCTTCAAACATTTTCAGTAAAGCTCTTAAACCACTCAATTTTCAGTCATCTTCTTCACATATATCCGAATATTATCTTGATAAATTATTCTTTCACTTGAACCAGCAGGTTCACAACACATGCACTCACATATGCCTTAAATTCATGAAAGCAATCTACGCCGTAAAAATATTTTCAGAAACAGAAAATAGCATGCTGTGGCAAATAGATTGAGCAATATGGTTGTCATTAAGCGTAGGGCTAGAGTATTTTGGATGTAAAAAAATTGTATTTTGCTGTTAAAGTACAAAATGCTTTTACATTTAACTCAATAGTCGTATAATTCACACGGTCATTGCATAATCATACAAATTTCGTACAAAACTCACGCCACTCGGTATGTATTTTTGTATTGAGCAGGAAATTCCATACATTGCGCAGAACTGCTAAAATAAAAATGAATTCAATTCCCGTTCCTTAAATATTCCATAAAATTGCGAGACATGAGAACCTTTACTCAAAGCTTCATACATTCATACACATATAAATTGTTATGTTATGGCTATGTAGAATGTGAAGAGAATGAAAAAAAGAAAAATTAATTTATGATCGATTTTGCTTCTTGCTGAGAGCTAGTATTATTCTTTCTTGATTATTATCTATATCAAATTTCCTAATGTATCATCATAAATCTTATAATTTTTCTTCTCATTCTCATCTCATCCTCATCTTTAATGTATATGCTTCACGTCTCATCTCATCTTTCAAAACAAATCAAGCATCTTATCAAGTCTCACGCATCACAAACAAAACAAATAGGATGTGAATTAGGTCAGATAAAGAATGAAGTGTGGAGGGAAATTCAAGCACTTAAAAATGTTTTGACAACAGCCGAAGAGCACGATAATGAATCAATAGCACAACAATCAAGTCATCGTCAGAGAACGAATAAAATGTTTGAGGAATCACATTATCCTGCATTATCATCATTGTCGTCGACGTCATTATCATCAATGGCATCAGGAATATCATCAATATACGATAAATCGGATGCTTCAATTCCTAGTAAAATTTTAACAAAATCAATCAAATCATCGATTAAATCGAATGAAAAGAAGAAAATGTCTAAGATGATGAGAGAATGCTGTGATGACAAATTTAACATTAAAATCGATGATAAAAAGGATAATGACAATTCAATGGCTGATGAAAAGCAAAATAATATTACAGATGCCTGAGATGATGAGCAAAAACATTTGATTGTAAAATGTAGGCTCTACTTTAGAATATATATCCTTTTTCTGAGTCGTTGATGTGCAAGTATGGGTTAAGTGGGAGTAGTTGAAGGAAAATAAAAAAAAATCAATAAAGCCGCGAGATATAATTATGACAACGGATGAAAAGCCGAAAAGATGATGCAAAGTGATTCGAAAAATTTTATTTCTACTTTTCTCCATCCATCAACCATTATTTATTTTGTTTTAGGGGATTTTTTGTGATATTTTCTTTTAAGACTTCCGCTTTTGATGATTTTATTTCAAAGTCAATAAATGAAGGGTTGATGAATGAAGATTTTTTGGTTTTGTGATGGAATTATGGCTTGATTGGCAATAAAATTATAATTGTTTAATAATTTGGGATGTTATGGAAAGTTCTGCATCTTTTTGCTTCTCTTTTGTTTAGTTTCGCATCATTTTTTGACTAAGTTTGCATTTCAATGTTTGGATTTGCATCTTTTTGGATAGTTTTTTAACTAAGTTTGCTTCTTTAACTAGCTTTGCATCTTTTTTAGAACTAGCTTTTCATCTTTTAGATCTTTTGTACGTTTTTGTTTAGATTTGCATATTTTGATTAGTTTTGCATCTTTTTGATTAAGTTTGCATCTCATTGTTTGGATTTGCATCTTTTTGGCTAGTTTTTTGTCTAAGTTTGAATCTTATTGATTAGCTTTGCATCTTATTGACTAGCTTTGCATCTTTTTAGAACTAGCTTTTCATCTTTTAGATTTTTTGGATGTTTTTTTAGATTTGCATATTTTGATTAGATTCGCATCATTTTTTGACTAAGTTTGCATCTCAATGTTTGGATTTGCATCTTTTTGGATAGTTTTTTAACTAAGTTTGCATCTTATTGACTAGCTTTGCATCTTTTTTAGAACTAGCTTTTCATCTTTTAGATTTTTTGGACGTTTTTGTTTAGATTTGCATCTCTTTGACTAGATTTACATTTTTTGGAATCTTTTTCGACTATTTTTGCATCTTTCTCATTTGAAAGTTTTCGCATTAATTCCTTAAAAATTCTTAAATAGCTTTTAAAATTAGTCAAAAGCACTCTCGAAATCTTCAAACTTTTATTACATTCCTGCCATACAAAACAAAAACCTCGTCTGCCTCCAAGATGTTCCTTTCAATTAATGTCAAATGAGTTTAAATTTTACTCTTCCCTTTTCTCCTTCCTTATGTCTGTTCCAATGTTTCTTCCTTTTTTATGACTTATTTTCTCATTATCATTATAACGACATAATTTTTCCGGTAAACTTTTTTTTTTCAACTCGCAACAGCAACAACAACAGCACTAATAACAATAAAGTATAAAAAAAAATAATAATGTTTTGTATGAAACATTTAAATTATGTGGCAAATTTCTTAAATTCTTCCTCTTATTTGTACAACAACTTTTCATTTTCATGATGATTTCTGTTCCTGTGAGCAATATACAAATATCTATGTATGTCTGTTGATGTTGAAGATAAAAATTAAACATGACACAACTTTTTTTTTGTGAGTGTTGTCTCATCTTTCCTTTTCCTCACATCTAAGTGACGATGGTGATGATATGCAATGCATATATTTTGCAAATAAAATAGGCGAGTGAGAAGAAGAAATGAGCAGGAGAGACACGAGAGTAGAAAATGTGTAAATTTGCTTGTTTGTGTGGCAACATCCTCGACAAAGCCATATGCTTATTAGAATACCAACAACAATAGCAATAGTAGCTACATCATTGAGACGTTGCATTGCTGCATAAATTTTTTTCGTGTCTCACTATCGCCTGCTGCTTTTTTTTTTGTTTCTTCCAACCCTTAGCATAAGCTTTTTCATTCTCCTTATTAACGCATTTTCTTGCTGGAAAGATGTTATTGCTCTCATTTTTTCCGCACATGCGTTCCGTTATAAATTTACATATTTTTTATTAGTTACATATTGTTTGAATGTAAATTATTGCAGTAGTTACATAAAATGCGGATTTTAATAAATTTCATAGCTTGTTTTCGAAAGACATGTTTTGAATATTGCATCAGCTGTGCATGAATTTTTGGTGGATTTTGTTTTGTAATTTCAAAGCTTATTGGAGTTATGCTCGTATTCCCGGGATTTTCAGTTTTAGATGCTGTCATTTGCTTCATGTTTTGGTGACCTACTTGATTTGTCTTACTTTTTTAAAAGTCTCAAATTCGTCCTCGGGAAGAAAAAATCCTCGATTTTATTTTGAACTGCAATAAGGTTCAAATCCACAAATAGCTGGACCACTATCTCCAAACATCGATCAACATAACTAAGACTTAGCGATTATACAATATAACAAGTCAGGGAGTTAAATGGCAACTTATGGACAGTTAAATCTCTTGACAGATCAACTTACATCACGTAAGAAATTATAAAAGTGATCCTTATTGAAACTAGTACCTTTATATTCAAAAAACTTCGATTTTTAACACAAAATGCCTCACTACTGCTGACTATTGTTTAACAGACACTTTTCATGCCCTGACAAAATAGAACAGACATTGAAAATGTGGAAGATTTAATTCTCAGCGAATAACTTGTTCCATGATAGAAATGCGCTAAGAATCATAGACCTCATCATACCTTATTGTAAATATATGACAGCAAGCAGCAAGTACAAAGATCTACATAAATATGCATGCAACTCAATGACGGTGACGAGCAAATTGGGCATATCACAAAGAGAAGAAGAGTGAGTAAGTGAGTGAGAGATATGAAAGAGAGAAAAGATGAAAATGGGGAGATGATAATGTTAACAGTAAAAAAAAAGCATGCTTGGCAATCAGACAGCCTCCTTTTGCTTCTTGTCACATATGTCGCTCATTGAAATTTATGTTAATTTATGATATAGCTGCATAAAGTTGTATCTTGATGGCTTTTTTTTATATATTTATGAATATAACGTATTCTCATCTATGGATTATTTATATTTTATTGCCATAAAGCTCCAGCATCTCTTCCCTTTTTATTATGCATTCATACAGATTGTATATCCATAAATATAGAGAGCATATAATTAAATAATCTACTGTACAGTATTATTTTTTATGTTGAATAAAAAATAATAATATTAAGCTTATGCATCCATGACGATAAATGTCAATTACAATCAATCTACACATAAATTGAGCGGAGGAGGAAGGAATGAAATGAGAAAGAGAAAAATAAATAAATAAACTTTTTTTTATGGGAAACTTAAATTTCTTTTTCACCATCATAAATTAGTACATAAAAAAACCATTTCCCCACTTCCACTTTTGGTTTTTGTTTCTGATTCAACCTCGAAAAAAAGAGGGATTAATCACCATAAAGACGAGTGGATTTTTTTTTTCTCATCAAAAAAGCATTTTCTGAGGGTCTTTAGAAGTACTTTTCTATCGGGATGAGACTTTATGGTTGTTTTGTTTGGGGGTCGTTCACAAATGATGTCTCAATCTAAGGGTGCAGATGAAGGGGTCTACAACTATAAGAATCATAAAAATTCAAGAAATGTTTTTAAAAAAGGGGGAGTGGGGTTGGGGTTTTGTAAATCATCATTTAGAAACATCATAACTGTACAGCCCCAAAAGTTTTGCTTGAAATCAATAGCTTCTTAAATGAAACAAGATGCTCTAAAGTCGCATGTCAATCTTGTTGATAAATTTCAGTCGTTTAACGCGCACTATTAATTAAAGAAGAGTTTTGGAATATTTTCTGTGGAATGTTAACGATTTTTTTTTTTAGATAATGTGAACAAAAATCGTGCGCTGTATTCCAGTTTTTATGTCATGTCTTTTGTCTCTTCTTTTTGGGGTTTTAAGTTGAAATGCTCTACATTTTATGGAAATGATCAAAAGTATTCAAAATTTTTCAGCAGCCTCTTAGGTTACGTACATAGACCTCGTTTATACAAATTTTCTGTCCACATGTTCAGCTAACATTCATTAAATAGACAATATTTAAAAGGTAAATCTTGGAAATGTCTACAAACATTTGTTTTGACAACATATTGTAAATCTATGGGCTGCAGGATATTTTTTTCTTGTCAAAATCTTTCAAGGTTTTAAATTTAATCAAAACAATTCATTTGAATTTAAAATTGATTTCTTTTAAAGCTATTCAGTTGAATTCAGAGCTCGAAGTCGATGAAATTTTGTATAGAGTCGCCATACAAAATCGATGAAAATCTCGAGTCGACTTCGAGCTCTGATTGAATTTAACGACGTTAAAAATGTGATTTTGGAAAGAAAAATAGGAATGGTTTATAAATGACGTCACAGGAGATGGGACAAAGAGCTCTAGATCCCATAGCAAAACAAGGATATGTAACAGAAAAGGCTCCAAAGCCTTTTGTGGTTGAGTCTTAAAATTACAGTTTTGATATAAAGAATCCTTATGATTGAAGACGTGAGTTCAAATTCCTCTTCCAATCTTAACTCTAATCCAACAGATAAATCAGATTTCGATCATTTTGATTAATTGCACACCTTTGTTTCAATCTTTAGAGTATTATCAGTGTTGCATTTTGGCCATTTGTCTGGATCAGATAAATTCTGAGACAGAAATTTCTTCATAAAGATCGATTATACATGAAGATAGAAAATCGAATCTACGCAAAGATTATTTCTACATAAAGATTCGATGTAGATGTCTACAATTCTACATTCTTCTCTGATGTAGACCTGGAAAAAATGTAGAATTGTAGTGTACATGTCTCGAATCTTTATGTAGACAGAATCTTTATGTAGAAATAATCTTTGTGTAGATTAGATTTTCTATCTTCATGTAGAATCGATCTTTATGAAGAAAGTTTCTTAGCTAGACAAAAACTACTGAAGAATCTACATTATTCATCTAGTGTAGACATCTACATTTGCAACACTGAGTATTATTGATATGGAATAGATTCAAAGCAAATGCTAACGTCATAACTGGACATTCAATTTATTACAAATAGTCATAACCGACAGTTTTTTAATAAAATATTTTTTATCCAAACAAATTTATGAGGTTTATCATTTCCAGAAGATGGAGTTGTCCAGATATTAAGTTACACTTTAAACAAAATAAATTTTTGAATGTGCAGGTCGGGAGGATACAGTCTGAAAATCACAAATTTATGTACGTAACAGATGAATGAACCTTACAATAAATCATGAAAAAAACTGACATCCACGCCACTACAAATAAAAATCCCAAAATTCTAGCAATTAACTTCAA